CTCTTTGGAAAAATGGCTACTCAGGTTCTTTGCCCCTTTTTTATTTGGAGTTTTTGTTTCTCTTGTATTAAGTTGTATGAATTATGAGTTCCTTAGATATTTTGGATATTAGCTCCTTATTGAATGTTTTATTAGTAAATATCTTCTGCCAACTTTGGTGTGATATTGCCAATTTTGTCCTCCTTTCTCAAGATTGTTTTGGCTGAAGAGGGTCATTTTGGGTTACTTATATTTTTTCTTTTTTTACAATATATTTTATTGATTATTGATTACAGTTCTCCCATTCCCCCCCCTCAGTCCCCTCCACCCTGCACACCCCCTCTCACCCACAACTCCCCTTTAGTTCATGTCCATGGGTCATACATATAAGTCCTTTAGCATCTACATTAACTATACTATTCTTAACCTCCCCTGTCTATTTTCTTTTTTTAATTTTTTTTCTTTAGAAGGGAAGGGAAGGGAGGAGAGAGGAGAGAAATATCGCGCCTGTGTCTTTTTCACCTTCCACCTATGCTACTTATTCTGTGTACCTTTTCCCCCTCTCTCCCCCTCCCATTCTCCCACTGATAACCTTCCATGTGATCTCCATTTCTATGAATCTGTTCCTGGTCTAGTTGTTTGCTTAGTTTGTTTTGGTTTTCGTTTCAGGTTTGGTTGTTAATAGCTGTGAGTTTGTTGTCATTTTACTGTTCACATTTTTTATCTTCTTTTTTCTAGATAAGTCCCTTTAACATTTCATATAATAAAGGTTTGCTGATGATGAACTCCTTTAATTTGACCTTATCTGAGAAGCACTTTATCTGCCCTTCCATTCTAAATGAAAGCTTTGCTGGATAAAGCAATCTTGGATGTAGGTCCTTGCCTTTCATGACTTGGAATACTTCTTTCGAGACCCTTCTTGCCTGTAAGGTCTCTTTTGAGAAATCAGCTGACAGTCTTCTGGACACTCCTTTGTAGGTAACTGTCTCCTTTTCTCTTGCAGCTTTTAAGATTCCCTCCTTATCTTTAATCTTGGGTAATGTAATGATGATGTGCCTTGGTGTGTTCCTCCTTGGGTCCACCTTGTTTGGGACTCTCTGAGCTTCCTGGACTTCCTGGAAGTCTATTTTCTTTGCCAGATTGGGGAAGTTCTCCTTTATTATTTGTTCAAATAAGTTTTCCACTTGTTGCTCTTCCTCTTCTCCTTCTGGTACCCCTTTGATTTGGTTGTTGGAACATTTAAAGATGTCCTGGAGGTTCCTAAGCCTCTCCTCATTTTTTTTTTTGAATTTTTGTTTCTTCATTCTTTTCTGATTGGATGTTTCTTTCTTCCTTCTGGTTCACTCCATTGATTTGAATCTTAATTTCTTTCCCATTACTGTTGGTTCCCTGTACATTTTCCTTCATTTCACTTAGCATAGCCTTCATTTTTTCATCTAATTTGTGGCCAAATTCAACCAATTCTGTGAGCATCCTGATGACCAGTGTTTTGAACTGTGCATCTGGATAGGTTGCCTATCTCTTTGTCTCTTAGTTGTATTTTTTCTGGAACTCTGATCTGTTCTTTTGTTTGGGCCATTTTTTTTGGCTTGACACGCCTGTTACCTAGTGAGGGATGGAGCAACCCACAGGGTGGGGCAACCCACAATGCTGTGTTGTGACGCTGTATGTGGGGCTGGAGTCTGAGAAGGAACAATGGCGCTTGCTCAGCTTTCTGTTGGATTTCAGTCACTTCCTCCACTTTCCACAAGCAAATTGGGCCCTTCTGGTGCTGATTCCCGTGTGGGTGGGTTTGTGTACATCCTGGGACCCTGTGGGTCTCTCCAACGAACTCTCCTGTGAGGCTGGAAGTTTCTCCTGACACCTCAACCCCCACAGGTGTTTTCAATCAGTGTTTTGAGGATTTACTTCCCCATGCTGGGACCCTGGGTTCCAAGGTCTGTCTCACTCCCCAGTTTTGCTTGGTTTATCTGCACACAAATATAAGACCGCCCGGTCCACCAACTGCCTTGCTCACCATGCCCCTCCACAATCCACTGCCTCATTGGGTCCACCAGCTGCCCTGCTCAGAGCCCTCTCTGTCCTGGTTCCCCGACTCCACCCCTCCTACCCGGTCTGGATGAATGTGTCTACTTTAATTCCTTGGTTGTTGGACTTCCATACAGTTCAATTTCCTGTCAGTTTTGGTTGTCTTTTTTTAAATTATTGTTGTCCTTCTTTTGGTTATTCAAGGAGACACGGTGTGTTTACCATCTTGGATGGGGGTCTATGTATGATCTTTCTATTTTTGGCTTTTAATCTTTGTGCTAGCTGCCTAGTTGGGACTACATCTAAACTAAAAAAATTTTTTGCACACCAAAGGAAGTCATTAACAAAATAAAAAAAAAAACACAGAATGGGAGAACATATTTGCTGATACATTTGAAAAAGGGTTAATATCCAAAATTGATAAAGAACTTACAAAAATCAACACCAAAAGAAAAAAATGACTAAACAACCCAATTAAAAGTGGACAAAAGATCTGAACGGACACTTTTCCAAAGAGGACATAGAGATGGGCAATGGACATATGAAAAGATACTCAATGTCACTAATCATCAGAGAAATGCAGATCAAACCCACAATGAACCTGGCTGGTGTAGCTCAGTGGATTGAGCGCGGGCCTGCGAACCAGACAATCGCGGTTCGATTCCCAGTCAGGGCACATTCCTGGGTTGCAGGCCGGTTCCCTGCAGGCCAGTTCCCAGCAGGGGATGCACAAAAGGCAACCATACACTGATGTTTCTCTCCCTCTCTCCTTCCCTTTCCCTCTAAAGATAAATAAATAAAATATTGAAAAAAAAACCGACAATGAGATATCATCTCACACTTGTCAGAATGGCTGTCATCAATAAATCAACACACAACAAGTGTTGGAACGGATGTGGAGGAAGGGGAACCCTTTTGCAGCGTTGGCAGGAATGCGAATTGGTGCAGCCACTGTGGAAAGCGGTATGGAGATACCTTAAAAAAATTAAAAATGGATCTGCTCTTCAACCCAGCCATCCCACTTTTGGAAATCTCCAAACCAGGAAGGAAGCTGGAAGATGATATGAGATGAAGAAGCTCTGTGGAGCATTAATTCACCAGCTCAGCAACCTCACCAAAGACCCCGACTATCTCCATCTCTGTTGGCCACCTGTAGAGCTTCTTCGGCTTTGCCTACCTGCTACTTCCTGCCATGGTTCCGGGTGGGCTGCCACACCTTGAGAATTTATTTCCAGAGAGAACACCACCTAACAGACTAAAAGAGAACTCTTCTCCTGTCCCGGAATTGCATGACTGTCCATTTTTGAACTGGTACAGCCACTATGGAAAGTTAAGAATGAGTTACCATATGACCCAGCAATCCTTCTTGTGTATATCTACCCTGCAAAGAGTGAAAACATTTATTCACAAAGACACATGCACTCCTACGGTCACTGCAGCATTACTTGGGATGGCCAGTACAGTGTCCTTTCATAGCTGATTGGATAAAGAAGAAGTGATGCATATGTATAATGGACTACTCCTCAGCCATTACAACAGATGAAATACCGCCATCTGTGACAACATGGATGGACCTTGAGAATATCGTGCTCAGCAAAATAAGTCAAGAGCCATATGACTCATTCCATTTCACTCATATGGAATATAAAACTGAAAGCAACAGATGAACAAACAAAAAAAACAGACAAACAAAAACTCAGGAGGTTAAATGTATGGTGACGGAAGATGATTTGACTTTGGGTGGTGGGCACAGAATGCAACATGAAGTTCATGTATCAAGAGAAATATACACTTGAAACCTATGCAACATGGGGGGAGAGTAGGTTTACAGTTGTGAATTCTCAAAACAAAGCTTATTCTTGAATTATTATTTAGTAGTTATCGTATTGTTTTCCGAGTGAACAACTGTAAACTTACTTTTGCCTCTCCTCGTATAATCTTATTAGCCGATGTCACCCCAATAAATTTAATAAAAAGACAGGAGAAAACAGATGACATATTTTAAGCTTTAATTTTGCAACTCAAGTTCTCCACCCACTGGAACGAGAGCTTCAGTGAAGAGATTGTTGCTGTTTTCTTGATGCCATGTCCCCGGGGGTCAGAACAGATTCTGGCTCAGAGTAAAATGCTCAGTGAAGATGACTGGAAGGAATACAATGACCAAAGGTGAATATGTCAAGAAATCCTTCCCACCACTGTCATAATGAAAACCATTCAAATACACTTCAGTGCGAAGCAGATCACATAAAATCAGAATAAAAACCATAGTGTCGAATATTATACAACCCTATAAAAGAAGGAGAACTGATCTCAATTTCTAAGAGGAACAATTGTTCAGGATATTTTACAGAGTAAACAAAAGGTTACATCACATCACGTTTAGTAAGATATTTTTGTTGCAAACACAATGTATGTATAGAAATCTATGTACAACGTGAGACAGACGACGTGGTAAAAGTAAACATTTAGCAGATGGAGTTGGAAAAGCCTTCCCTTACTCACTCACAACCCTCTAGTAGGTTGAATATTGCATTCAGGCTCAAAGCCACGTGTGGGGCTCAGCCCGGGAAGGTTCCCACGGGCTGGTCAGAATTCAGGTGCAGGATTTAGACTATGCAAAAGACGGGGTGAGGGCAAGAAAATTGGCCAAAGCAGGAGAAACAAGGACACAGTCCATTCCTGAACTGTGCAGGTGCCTGACGTTGGCTCCTGCCCCTCAGCCCCAGCGCCCGGCCCCTCCCTGGGCAGCTGCCACCAGGGCCAGAATGCGTGCGGGGGAGCCAGCTGGGGGCCGCCCACACACAGCCTCCGGAGGGAGGGTGGAGAAGGTGCAGGTCTATTGCTTTCACTGCCTCAGGGGTTCCAGGTAACCTGCACATTCAGGAAGGGGGTGTCTCAGAGCTGGCTCCACCTATACCCGAGGTTGCGGGGGCGGGGACGGTGCGCCATAAGAGGGCCGCCCCGCACAGGGCTGGACAGGCTTGGCTCCCAACCTAGTCTGGAGCCCAGAGCAAGTCAGACCCGCCGCCGCAGGTGAGAAGGGGCCTTAGGGGGTACGAGGGGAGGCTGGCTGGACGGCTTGAAGGGAGGGGCACAGTTGGGGGCTCTGGAGTCCTGGTTCTAAGAGATGAGGAGTTGGGGGTGCAATTTTGGGTCTCTTAAAGAAGCAAAACTGGGGAAACCAACTCATGAATGAGGAGGGGTGGGAAGCCTGATTTCTAGGTCCTCAGAGGAAGGGGGTCTGCTGTCGGAAAAGCTCAGTCTGGGGGGACGGGATGTGGTGAGGGAGTGAGGTTTTTGGGTCTGAGGCTGAAGGACACTGAGGGACAGGGCTCCTGGGTCTGAGAGAAGAGGTTGCAGACCAGGGCTCCTGGGTCTGAGGGAGGAGGGTGCAGACCAGGGCTCCTGGGTTTGAGGGAGGAGGGTGCTGACCAGGGCTCCTGGGTCTGAGGGAGCAGAAGGGCCTGAGGACCAGGACTCTTGGTTCCTAAACCCTCATCCTTCCAGCTCCAGCAGAAGACACCCGTCCTCCCTCCACGTGGCAACCCCCAGAGGCTCCCAGAGACCACATGGCAGGTCCCCATCTCTCACCCCTGCTGACCCTGCTGCTGTCCTTAGCCCTGGGAGCTGCTGGACAAGGAGGTGAGGGCCAGACCGGGAGGCCTGACCTTGCTCCAGGGACTCAAAATCACCCACATTCTCTCTCCAGGCCCCCTCTCCCCAAAGAATCCCGAAGTCAGGACCCCCACCCCATCACCCTCTTCCAGCAGCTTTCTCCCAGACGCACTGGGCTCTCCTGCTGGGGCCCCTTTTCTCCTGCTTCCCTCTGACTCCTGGGGCCCCTGTGCCCTCCAGGCTGCCCCCTGCCCTCCGTGTCTCTCCCTCATCAGCCTCTGGGGTTGCCTCCAGACCAGACGCCCCCACCCTGCATTTTGAGCAGCCCCCCCCATGGGTCCCCATCTCCGTCTGCAGCTTTCTCTGCACTGAGCTCAGTTTCTTAGCCCCTGCTCTTCTCCACGCCTCTCTGTGTGTCTCTCTATATCTCTGTCTCTCCCCATCTGTCGGCTGATTCCTCAGCTTTGCCTGCATGCTTTCTGCCCATGCTCTTCTCCATGTCTCCATCCAGGAGAGGACACCGGGGACAGAATTATTAACGGAGTTCCATGTCCAAGGAACACCCACCCCTGGCAGGTGGCCCTGCTCAAAGGCGATCAGCTCCACTGTGGGGGTGTGCTGGTCAACGCGCAGTGGGTGGTCACCGCCGCCCACTGCGAGATGAGGTATGTGGCAGGGGAGCCACAGTCCCGCCAGCTGAGCCTCTGGGTCCCCATCCCCTGATCTCTGCAGACCTGTCCCCCCCCCTTAGTGACCGTGTGTCTGTCTGCACGTCTCTCTTCTCCCAGTGAGTACAACGTGCACCTGGGCAGTGATCATCTGGACAGCAAGAGGGCTCAGAGGATCAGGGCCACAAAGTCCTTTGTCCACCCGGGCTACTCCACACAGACCCATGAGAATGACATCATGCTCGTGAAGCTAAGCCACCCAGCCAGGATGTCATCCTCTGTGAACAAAATCAACCTGCCCTCCCGCTGCCATGCACCGGGGACCATGTGCACAGTTTCTGGCTGGGGCACCACCACCAGCCCAGATGGTGAGGCTTCCCAGAGAGCCCGGAGTCCAGGCCCCCTGCCCCCTTGTCCCCCAGCCCCCCGGAGACCAGGGGGTATCCCCCTTTCCAAGTATCGAGCCCCACAGCTCTTTCTTAATTCAAGATCTAGGGCTCACACGTGCCCCCCGTCAGCACCCAGGGATCCCCAAGCCCAGGCCTCTGACCAACCTGCTCTCCCCCACTCAACAGTGACCTTCCCATCGCAGCTCATGTGTACAGATGTCAAGCTCGTCTCCTCTGACGAGTGCAAGAAGGTTTACAAGGACCTTCTGGGAAACTCCATGCTATGTGCCGGCATTCCCAACTCGAAGTCCAACGCCTGCAATGTGAGACACCCCCCCGCCCCACCCTGGCCCTGGGTCCTGCTTTCTCTTAACCCAGAGCCTGCATTCTTCTCCATCCAGAGTCTGGGGGCCTGACCCTGGTGCCCAGCCTTTCCTCACACCTGACCAGTCCTGCTTTCCTGGCTCTCTGTACTCATTTCTCTGCCTCACTTATAGTGGGAGCCCAGGGAGGCTGGTGTGGCCCTAGGGATGGACATGAAGTTGAGAGGGAGGGACTGGAAGGGAGGGAAGTGAGAAAGACAAGGCAGGGACTGAGAGAAAGAGGAACGAGGCGCTGGCTTTAAGCATGAACTTTAAGGAGGCACTCAACATTCAGTGACCAAGAGGAACCCTATTCCAATGCAATATATATTTTTAAAATCTGTGCAAAAGTCCTCAGTGCACAAAATGTTGGAGTTTTCAGTAAAGCACCATCCATGTTACCCAATTTTCTATTTGCCTCTGGCTCCCTAATGGTGCAGCACCACACAGTACTGACTCCGTGTATCTAAAATTAGGATAAGTTGTTTGTCGTGGATTTTTTCGCATTAAGTTTGATTTTTTTTAAGGTATTGCATTAAAATATCATTTATTGCAATCACTGAGGTTGAGTTCATGCCAGAAGCTTATGTCTCGGTCACCTCACCTGGGCCCTGGTTCTGGTGATGGAAGGAGCCTCCTCCTCCTCTCTGTCCCCGCTGCCTCATCTCTGTTGTCCCCTCTTCGTCTGTGAGAAGCATCTTCCCTCTTTGCTCTTCAGGTCTCACTTCATTTTCTTTGTTTTCCTCTGTGTTCTCTCTGTGTTGGAATCTATCTACCCATTAATCATCTGCCGCTGGAATGCTTGTTACTTCCTCCATCTCTGCCTCTTTCCCCGCCCCCAACATGTCTAATTCTCTGTCCCCCTCTTCCTACCCTTTCTTCTCTCCATCCTTCTCTCTGACTTTCTCTTCCTCTTTCATCCTTTGCCCTTTGGTACTTCTACTCTCTTTGCTTCCACCTACACTCTCCTTTTTCAGGGGCCACGGGGTGGTGTGTGTTAGGGAGAAGGGTAATGAGACAGGGCTGTGTGTCCTGAAGAATGAGAAGGTTCCCTCTTATCCCCCAGTGAGTGCTGATTTATAATTGTGTAAGCTGTCCAGGGACTCAGAGTCCCACATTCAGGACGGTCCCACACTTGGTTTAACACACTCTTCTTGCTGTTTTGAGATTTATGTATTTGACCCAGGTGGTCTGCATTTTCACTTTGCACTCGACCCTGTGAATTAGGTCATTGGTCCTGCCCCTGGTTCCCAGCACTACCCTGTCCTGGATGCCTGGACAAGGGCATATATGAATTCCCTGGAGAAAACACACTTTTCTTTTTGTGGATTGGCGAAGAGTGGTTCAGTGGGGCTGTGACTGCTGGGAAGCCCCACCCCCTCCCTGTCACTGGTCTCATTGGCAAGGGGCTCAAGCCAATGTCTTCAGAAAACCTGGTTTGTCCTTAGCATGGTAGCATTGATTCCTTCTCTCCCATTGGTCCACAGAGACAATGAGTCTCTTCCCATTGGCCAGGGTGGAAGGCCGTGTTCTCGTGGGCCAAAGACTTAATAGTGTGTTAGACTTCAGTGCTGGTTGCTCTGAAGTCGAAACTGATCTGCTTTCTCCCCTCCAGGGTGACTCAGGGGGACCACTGGTGTGCAGAGGTACCCTGCAAGGCCTGGTGTCCTGGGGAACGTTCCCTTGTGGCCAACCCAACGACCCAGGGGTTTATACCCAAGTCTGCAAGTTCAACAGTTGGATAAAGAAGACCATGAGAAGCCATCGCTAATCTCTCCAAACTCCCACCTCTCCAACTCTGCGTTGAATGGGAAATTTACAGAAATTAGGACACAGAGGACCTGTAGTCATATTTGACTTTACCTTTGCTCAAAGTCATATTAAAACCTTAACAATATTACATATGTGTAAACTGATAAAATCAAGCAAAAAAAAAAACAAGCTCAAAACAAACAAACACACACACGCACAAATCTCAGTGCTTGTAAAGATGCAGTGAGACCAGCAATCTCAACCACTCAAACTGTCAACTGCCACAATATTTGTGGGAGGCAGTTGGGCAAAGTACATCAAGACCCTTCACCACCTTGGACTTAGTAGTTCTAGTAAACCAGAAATGTAGAACGAGGTTTGAATTAGTGGGTTGTTTATGTGAACAACCCACAGATTTGTGAAAAGGATATTCACGAAACTGTTCTGGGTAATAATTATGCAGAGTTGTCAGTGGCATGCAAGAATGTTGATGTTATCTGATGTTAAATGAAATAAAGGGAGACAAATGTATACGCATGTGATCCTCACCGTGTAAAATAAAATAGTCACAGAATAAAATTGAACATAGTATGCACCAAACTGTATGTGGACAGTCATGAGTGCCTCCTTCTTTCTATTTCCCTTTCTGCACCTGTGCACGTTTATAACCTGAAAAATGCAGGTGGGGACCTCCGAAGAGCTCAGGTTGGGAAGAGACCTTAAAGAGGGAGACAGGAAAGGATTAGGTATCTGATTCTGAGCTTTCAACTCTGTCTCCCACCCCCCACCTGCACTGGTCCAGTGACGTGTTTCTCTATATTATGCACATCTCAGTTTTCCTCATCCATTAAATGGGAGGAAGAGAAAGGGAGGGGGAGAGAGAGAGAAAGAGAGAGAAGGAGAAGGAGGAAAGAGAAAAGGGAAATGAGAAATGCCTACTTAGTTAGTGTTAAAATGGATTTGAAACTGGTTCTGAGCATTTCACCAGGGAAGGTCTTTAGAAGATTAGGCCTGGCAGGTAGACAGGACACTGAGGTTCCGCCAGGGTCTGCCACAAGCGAGCATCCCATGTCCCAGGTGGGAGAAAAAGATGGGGTTGGGAACCCAGGTAGGCAGGCTCCTGTTCTGAAAGAACTGGGGGTAGGAATCTCTGGGAGAGAAGAGGGAAGAGGGAGGAGTCCCTGTGACTCAGAGCCTGGCCACACCCCCAGAGCCTCCAGCTTCCAGAGGCTCCCAGAGCAATCACACCTCAGACTGCTGACGGTGGAATCTTTCAGCCCAGGACTCAATCCTCCTACCTGCCTTTCCAGTTTCTCTCCCAGAATTTTCTTCTGGCCAATATGCTCCAGATCCTTCCTCACCTCAGCTTATCTCCCTCTTGAGTCTCCCTTGAACCCCACTCCCCACCCTTCTCCATATTGCAGAAATTCTGCAGACACCAGTAATTTGCACAGAGAAAACCAAGACCTCTGTTCCCACAAACCACAGGAGTCCAAGCCCCCAGCCCCTCCCCCCTCAGACCCAGGAGTCCAGGTCCCCAGCCCCTTCCTCCCTCAGACCCAGAGCTCTAGGCCCTCAGGCCCCTGCTCCTTTAGACCCAGGGGTCCAGGTCCCCAGCCCCCTCCCCCCTCAGACCCAGGAGTCCAGGCCTTCAGCCTTGTCCTCCATCTGGACAGTGACAAGTTGAAGGAATGTCTGGAGTTTTGGGCCACCCACCCCCATGAAGCTCCATCAACTTCTCCTCTCTCCAGCATGCCACCCCAAATCAATATTCCATCCAAAATTTTAAATAGTGAGAAAACACAGCCATTGCACAAAGTGCAGCTGGAGGCACCTGGTCCGGCTCCTCCGCAGCTTCTTGATGCGAGTCTGGGTGTGGGTTACTTTGCAATGACTTCAGGTTACTCTTCTTGTTGAATTTCTAAAAACAACTTGATTTCTCTTTGGGTAAGACAGGATAGCATAGTAGTTCAAGGGGCTAATTCTAGGAACTGGGTTCTTTGTGAGTTCTAATCCCAGCTCTGGTTCCTGTAAGGCTTTGAACACATTACTTCCCTGTCCCTTCATCCTGGAAAGAAAGAGAAGCACCTGGAAAGAAGAGAAGAGGGCGCTACAGAGATTGAACAACGTTCAGAAAGGACTAGCACATTGTCTGACACAGAATGAGCCTCAATGAGTGTTGGTTGTTCATTGCTTGGAACTTCAGTCACTTTTTCCTGATTACGCTCTCATAAGGTTTTCTCATAAAACATTTTCTTTAAGATTTTTTTTGTTTATTTATTTTTAGAGAAAGGGGAAGGGAAGGAGAAAGAAAGGGAGAGAAACGTCAATGTATGGTTGCCTCTCATGGGGCCCCCACGGGGGACCTGGCCTGCAACTCAGGCATGTGCCCTGACTGGGAATGGAACCAGAGACCCTTTGGTTTGCAGGCCGGTGCTCAATTTACAGAACCACACCAGCCGAGGCATCTTATAAAACATTTTCTTTATTGAAGACTTCCCAGAGCATGTCACCTAGGAGAAAAACATGCCATGATTAAGCATGCGTGGCATGGGGTGGGGACAAATCCCGGAAGGTCAATGACAAGTCCCCAGAGTTGGGGACTTCTCTCTCAGAGTTTCCGCCACTCCCCACTACCTACCACCTCCCTGCTCTCCCCCTCGGCTCTCAGCTATTCCTCCTAAATCCACCCACCCCAGACAGCAGTAAGGTAGACCTGGTGCAGGCTCCAAGAATAATAGTTCAAATCCAGGGTTGCTGGTTCAATTCCCAGTCAGGGCACATGCCTGGGTTGCAGGCTAGTTCCCAGTGGGGGGAGAAGGCTCACGAGATGCAACCACACACTGATGTTTTTTCTCCCTTTCCTTCTCCCTCCCCTTCCCTCTGTCTAAAACTAAATAAAATAAATCTTTAAAACTATTTTTAAAAAACAGATAGCTCAAATCTACCGCCATGTTGGACGCTGAGTTTCCATCCCGGCTCCACTGTTTCCTGAGTGTTTGACATTGAGCAATTAATTAACTTGATCCCTCTGTGTCTCAGTCTTCTTATCTCCAAAACAGGAGTGGGCAGAATGAAGTCATTTAGTCGGTTGGTCAACATTTCCTGAGGCTTCCGCTGGGCCAGGTCCTGTGCGAGAGCTTGGGACACAGGCGTGAGTCAGCCCCAGCGCCTGTCCTCACAGAACCTGTGGTCCAGTGGGGGTTGGGGGAGGGGGACGGACCTGAGTCCAGATGGTCACGGAGCAGGGTGACTTGAGGGAGGCACCTGCTGTGGGAATCTAGATAACAGAGTGACTAACCCAACCGCAAGGGAGTGGGAATTGGGTGGTGTTCAGGGAAGGCTTCCTGAAGGAGGTGATATCTAAGCAGTTCTTGCAACTTGATGGACGGGTTGCAAGCACATTCTGGGAAGAGACAATAGGATGGGTGAAGGCCTCGAGGTCAGAGGGCATGGCATGGTTCGGGGAACCTTGAAATAATCTCCAGGGCTAGAGTGCAAAGAGACAAGTGGGCACAGCTCCCGGTAACATGGTAGCCACTTGCCGCGGCCAAGATCCGACTGAGGATGCTGTTGACATGGAAACGACACTTCGGGTCCCCAACACTCATTGTGCAAACAGTGACAAAGCACACGCTCTTCAAATTTTTTCTATTTTGACCTCATGCTGCAGTGACAGTATTTTGCATGTATTGCGGTCAATGAAATATTAAAATAAACTCTTGTTTTCTGCGGTTTTCATTTCTTCTTCTAAATTTTATTTTTTTTCAATTACAGTTTGCATTCGATATTATTTTGTACTGGTTTCCGGTGTAGAGCATAGTGGTTAGACAGTCATATACTTTCCAAAGTGATCCCCTGGTGTCCCCCATGCCTGTCGGACACCATACATAGTGATGACAATATTATTTTTTTAATATTTTACTTAATTATTTTTAGACAGAGGGGAAGGGAGGGAGAAAGAGAGGGAGAGAAACATCAAGGTGTGGTTGCTTCTCACATGCCCCCCACTGGGGACCTGGCCTGCAACCCAGGCATGTGCCCTGACTGGGAATTGAACCTGCAACACTTGGGTTCACGGGCCAGAGCTCAATCCACTGAGCCACAGCAGCGGGGGCTGATTACAGTATTATTGACCATGTTTCCTATGCTCTATTTACATTACATCCCCATGACTAGGACTAGGTAAAAAAAGCTGAAGGGATTGAGAAGTATGGGTTGGTAGTAGTAGCTCTTGCTTCTTTTTGCTTTTTTTTTTTCAATTGTGGCTACCAGAACATTTAAAAGTGCACGTGTACCTGGCATTATATTTCCACTTGCCAGCACTGTTCTGGATGCTGAAGGTTTTCCAACACCAGGCTGAGGGGTTGGACTTGGTCCCAAGAGTGATGGGGTACCCAAGGCAGGGTTGTGAGCAGGAGAGAGAGAGACAGGGTCAGTTCTGGATGCAAGAAGAACCCTCTGGGGTCGAGTGAAGCGTGCAGGGAGTGGGGGGAGCCTGGAGTGATGGCCTATGTGGGTAAGATGGGAGGTCTGAGCTGAGGCCAAGCAAGTAGGGATGGAGAGGAGGGAGCCACACAGGGAGGGGGCCGGTGGGGTGGAGACTGGGGATCCAGCCCGCTGTCTGCAAGGATGGTGGGTCCTAAGTTCGGCCTGTGAAGGGCACGAAGAAAAGGGACGGAGCAGGGACCAGCAGCCCCGGAGAGTACGTTAAATGCCAAATTGGTTTTCATCCTGGAAGCGATGAGGACCAAGAAAAGGTGGCGACAATTAGCTTTAATGCAGGAAAAAAAACAAAAAAACACCGTAGCACCAGGCCCAAGCCATCTTGCAGGCAGACATTATTAAGATCAAACTGGAGAGCATTATGCTAAGTGAAATAAGCCAGGCGGTGAGGGGCAAATACCATACGATCTCACCTTGAAGTGGAACCTCATCAACAAAAGAAAAAAAGCGAGCAAAATATAACCACAGACATTGAAATTAAGAACAATCTGACGGTAAGCAGAGGGGAGGGGGGGATAATGGGAGGAAAGGTTTTCAGACACAACTATAAAGGACACATGGACAAAACCAAGCGGTAGTGGAAGCAGGGGAGGGAGGAGGGTTTGGCTGGGGTGGGGAGTAAACACAGACAACTGTAATTCAACAACAATCAAGTAATTAAAAAAAAACCAAAATAAAACATTTTCCAATTTTCCTTAAAAAAAAATCAGAAGCCTCCACTGCCATCAACTTTCCTGAAAACCCCGTTTTCCTTCTCACGCCCTGCTGCTCTCTCGTCCCTGTGACCACCATACCCACCCGAGTTTCCTTCCACGCAGCCCCCTCCACTCACATCCTCTCTGGTCCCCCGTAGCCAAAGGGCCCCCATTCCACACGCCCACGTCGCGCTCGAGTTTTCTTGCAGCCCCGCTTATTTCCATATCGCTCCCTAGGAGTTGAATTTCGAGCCCCCCAATCCCCCTGCGGCCCCCCGGCTTCCCCGCGCCCCGCCCGGCCTGCGGTCGCCCCTTCTAGCTCCGCAGGAACCGGACGCTTTGCGCGCATGCACGCGCTTCTCCTGGGAATAGGCGAAGATCGGTGGAGAGAGATTTAGAGACTCAGAGAATCAAGGGGAAGGACAGACTCGGAGAAAAAGATGGAGAAAGAGGCAGAGAGACACACGCACAGAAGGAGAGACTGAGATGAACACCGAGGAACATCCAGAAAGAGACGTGGAGGAGACGCCGCGCCAGGGCCAGGGAAGCGAGCGGACGGAGACCTCGGAGGTGGGCCGGCTTGGATGGAGGGCGGCTGGGAGGGTCAGGAGTCCTGATATCGGGGCAGAAGTGGGTGGACAATCAAAAGGCAGCCGCAGGACTGTCAGGCAGAGACAAAGAGGAACTTATGGACGCAGCCGGCTGCCACCGGCCTTCCTGGGAGGTTGGGAAACGGGGCTGCCAGGAGCGTGGCACCGACTGCTGGGGGCGGACAAAGCCGGATTGTTCCGAGTGCCTGGCTGTCCCCACAGTGCCTGGGTCTGCGCCCCAGCCTGGGGCGGGGTCGAGTGCCAGCTTGGTGACACATGCTTTCTCACTAGCTGGCTCACTCTCTCGTGGGGACGAGGAGGTCGTCAGCACTCACACAGGGACTTAAGGCAGGTGCGTGAGTCACCCCAACCCAACTAACCCATGCTGCCTGGCTCCCAGGACTCCAGGATCTGTGGGTCCGGCGCACCCACGGACAGAGGTGGCAGGGTCCTTGGAGGCCAGCGCGACTGTCACTTTCCCCGGAGGCCTGCATTTGGTGCTCAGACACTTTCTTGTTCAAGGATGTGGGAGTCCAAGGAGTTAAAGAGGGTCAGCTTCGGTCTTTCCCTTCCCGACCCCTCAGGAGTCAGCACCCAGCTCCTCCTCCCCCAGACCCAGGAGCCCAGGCCCCCAGCCTCTCCTCCCTCAGACCCAGGAGCCCAGGCCCCCAGCCTCTCCTCCCCCAGACCCAGGAGCCCAGGCCCCCAGCCTCTCCTCCCCCGGACCCAGGAGCCCAGGCCCCCAGTCTCTTCCTCCCCCAGACCCAGGAGCCCAGGCCTCCAGTGCACGTAGGGACCAGAGCTTCCTTTCCTGGAAGCTCAAGTCAGGGGTCATCAGGAGCAGCGCTGTGGGGGTGGGAAGAATGTGCGTGGGAGGCCCGGAGAGGAGGAAAAGGGTGGGGTAGTTTCCTCAGGGACCTGGAGAAACAGAGGTTAAAAAGGAAGCACCGGGAGCTTCTGAGGACAAGACCAGCCTCTGTCTTCCAGGGAGGCCGGAGCCCTGGATTATCTGTCAGGCAGCCTTTGATGTCTTGGGCCCCCAAAGCTCCTACATCTTTTGCTCAGTCTCCCTGTCATTCTGTGTCTGCCTCTCTCTCTCTCCTTCCTAGGAGTCCTCACTACTTTGCCAATCCCTTCTCTCCCCTCAGCTCCCTGTGTTTCTGACTCTGTCTCCCTGTTCATCTGCCTGTGTCACGTGCTGTCCCTGCCCCCAACCCAAGAACCCCTGGACCAGTAGGCAGTGGCCCCCCCAGCAGGTAAGACCACATGGCACCCCAGAACCTACAAGTGGGGGGTGGGCAGTGAGCAACAGGTGAGCTCAGAGCCAAGGTGCAGAGAAAAATGCATCAGGAGAAAGACCATCAAGGATCTCCCAGGTCAGCCCTGCCTGTTGCTAGGCAGGCAAACTGGAGCCGAGAGGAGTGGAAAGACTTGAGGAGACTCTCACAGCGAGAGGATCCTGGGACTACCCCATGCAGTGCTGGGTTCTTGGGACCCTCAGATGGAAGATGGAGGGCAAGCGATGGGGAGGCTGGACAAAGACCAGAAGTCAAGGGTTGGGAGAGCATGGCAAAGCCAAGGAAGGAGGGAACCAACAACGAGGAGGTAAGAGGGGCAGGGGCCTGGGTAGGGCCTGAGACAGGGACTGATGGAGCATTTTGCTTCCCCTCCCAGGACCGGCCATGCAGACGCTGATTGCAGCACTGGTTCTGATTGTGGCAGGTGGGAAGAAAGGGAAGGGGCTGGGGAGGTTGGGGACAGGGCAGGGGTTGCTGATGGGGCAGAGATTGGAAATGGCTACGGGAGCCCCAGGTGGAGTGGGTTTGGGATAAGGAAGATGTCGGAGGAGGCTCGGTGAGGAGTAAACAAATGCAGACAGGGTGGGGGGTGGGGTGGGAGGTGGGAGTGAGGGTGCGGAACAGATGGAGGATGGGGTTGGCTTCAGGAGAGATACTAGATAACTTTGGGGGTGGGGATAGTGATCACCTTGATGATTAAGACAGAACCTGGTTCGCCCTGGGGCACACACCTCCTCTCTGACCCAGACCCTCCCTCCCTCAGCCCAGGCAGAGGTGAAGGACAAGGTGCAGCATGGCGGACCCTGTGAACAGCTATCCCACCCTTACCAAGCTGCCCTGTACCACTCAGGCCACGTGCTCTGTGGAGGGGTCCTCATTCACCCACTGTGGGTCCTCACAGCTGCCCACTGCAGAAAACCGTGAGTTTCCGTGCTGTGGATGGGGAGTGGCTACAATGGGACCCCACCGACGTCTTGCAGACTTCAGGCATGACATGACGCACTCATCCCCCTGTGCTAGTGAGAGGCCATCGGATAACCAGTCTCATTTGAGCAACATTTAATTGAGCATTAAATATGCACCAGGCACTGTTTAGGGTCCTGCTGGGGGGGGGGAGGAGTCCAAAAGAGGAGGAAAAAGCAAGCAGAATTGCTGTTTTTGTGAACTGACCTTTTTACCAGGGTCTTGTTGAGAGAGATGGATTTAGTTCTAGGTTGCAGTGGGATGACACTAAAGAGTTTTTTTTATCTGCGCCCTGGCTGGTGTAGCTCAGTGGATTGAGCACAGGCCTTGCGAACTAAAGGATCGCGGTTCAATTCCCAGTCAGGGTACATGCCTGGGTTGCAGCCCAGTTCCCAGCAGGGGGCGCACGAGAGGCAACCATCCATTGATATTTCTCTCCCTCTCTCCTTCCCGCCCCCCTCTAAAGATAAATAAATATAGCGCCAATTCCTTAAAAAAAGAGAGAGTTTTTATCTGGGAAGCATCAAGATCCGATTTCATTGCTGAAGGCACTGCAGCTACCTTGGGGGAAGGGGCCTGCGCAAAAGGAGATGATGAAGGGGTACATGTGGAAACTGTTGCCATTGTCTGGAGCTGTAAAATGGTAGCTGGGACCAGGGTGCTAGCAGTGAGGATGGACAAAAGTGGGGAACCTTGGGAGTTAAGACTGAGCCAGCAGAGCTCAATGATATGGGATGGGAGGGAAAGACAGCAAACAGGGCTGACCTCCAAGTGTCTGACTGGGGTGACTGGGTGTTGGGTTGTGTCTTTTGCTGAGTCAGGGGAACAGGAAAGAGAAACAGTTGGGATGTAGGCGGGGGAGCATCAGACTTTTTGCTTTCACCAAGATGAGTCTGAGATACCTGGGAGATGTCCAAGAAAGATGCCAGGTTGGCCGCTGGTACTCAGGAGAGGGGTCAAAAATGGAGGTAAATATTTTAGGGCTCATCTGCAAAGCAGGCGATATTTAAAGCTATGGGGTGGGATGAGATCACCCAAAAAAAGAGAGATAGGGGAGCATAGGGGACCTGGAACAAGTCCACAGGGGACTAACAACCACGTTACCCTGGCAACCGCTGTTCAACGCTCACTGGAGGCCAGTGAGGCAGTAAAATGCCTTTTCCTGGGTAGAACTCCACGGTAAGGGTCTGTTGGCCCCATTTTGCAGATGAGGAAACTGAGGCTCAGAGAAATGACAAGGGACAACTCAAGCATGTGGAAAGCAAGAGGTGCCTCACGTCGCTGTTGGGAGGGGTCTTGTCAGGCAGGGTCATGGATTCAGGGACTCCCATGGTGGTCTCTCCCAAGCTCAGGGAGACCTGGCCTGACTCCCACCATCCTGATTCATTCGGAGCCTGCTGACTGAGAGCATCCGCTAAGGGCCAGATTGGAACTGGGCAGTGGAGAGTCAGGAGTGGATGAGAAACCCTGCCTTTGGGGACATAAGGACAGAAAGACAGTTCCTTAACCAACCAGCCCCTGGAAAAAAAAATCATACAATTGCAAATTACCCTAAATCCAGTGAAGGGGGAGGACAGGGATGGCTCCCCAAGAGAAAAGAGCGGAGGTACCCACTGCTGATGGATGGGATGAAATTTAAGCTGAGGCATGGAAAACAAGGAAGAGTTGCCAAGGGAAGTTGGTGGGAGAGCATTTGAAGCAGAGGAAACACAAGGAGAAAGGCCATGAATTAAGAACAATCTGGAGAGTTACCAGTTGACAGGGGGCAGAGAATAGGGGGATGAGATGCTTGGGCTTTGTTCTGAGGGCAGTGGGGAGCTCTGGGAGGATTTTGAGCAAGGAAGTTGCTCTTCGATCCATTTCACAAATACATACTGAATATCCATCATGTTCCAAAAACTGGTCTAGGCACTGAGGATGCTGTATCTGAACAAAACAAAAACTCCACCTTGATATCCTAGAGCTGTGCCATCAGCCACATATGGCTAATTAAATTTGCATTAATGAAATGAAATCTCAAATTCACGAGCTACTTTCAGTAACCCCCTGTGGGTATTGATCATTGTGTCAAACAGCACCGATAGAGAAATTCTCACCATTGCACACAGTTCTATCAGGCACCGATGCTATGGTAGGAGAAGAGACAATAAAACAAGTAAATATCCAACACATACCTCATACATAAAATAATAATGACAGGGTTTCTAATGGAAAGAAAAACAGGAGAGGGAGGTAGGAATTGCCTGTCGGGGTGGCTATTTACATCTTAATTGGGTTACCAGGAAAGGCCTCACTAACGAGATGACATTTGAAGGAGGTGAGGGAGTGAGCCATGCAAATATCTGGGGGGGGAAAGTTTCTGGCAGAGGAAACAGCTAGTGCAAAGGCCCTGGGGCAGGAAAATGACCGCTGTATTCAAGGAAAGGCAGGGAAACCAGTATGGCTGGGGCAGAAGAAGAGAGGGGGAGAGTGGGAGGAGATACCTGTGAGGTGATGGGCAGCACTTTGTGGGACATGGTGACTACCTTGGTCTTTACTCTGAGTAAGATGGGAGTCATCAGAAAACTCTGAGAAGACAAAGAACAGAACTGGCTTATGTTGTTAAAGCATCTCTGGCTGCTCTGTGGAAGATAGGCTATAGAGGGCTAATGGCAGAAGCAAGGAGTCCATGAGGTAGCCACTGCCATAGTCTGAGTAAAGGATGATGTTGGCTCAGACCAAGATGGTAGCAGTGCAGGAGGTGAGAAGCAGTCAAATTATGGATATACATTGGAGAAACAAAAGGATTTCTGGACAGCTTTGATGTGAGGCATGAAATAAAAAGTCAGGAACAGTCACCAAGTTTATTCTGGAAGGATAGAACTGTAATTTACTGAGCTAAAACAGGACACATAGTTCATGGTGTACCAGGCTAACTTTACCTCCCACTGTGGCCCCATCTGGAGTCTCAATTGCAACCCAAGAGCTAAAGGTGTGACCCAGGCCTCCTCTCTCCCAGGAATCTTCAGGTCTACCTGGGGAAGCACAACATTTATGAAACAGAGCACTTCCAGGAGCAGAGCTCTGTTGTCCGCACTGTGGTCCATCCTGGCTACAATGCTGCCACTCATGACCAGGACATCATGCTGTTACGCCTGAAGCGCCCAGCCAATCTCTCTGAACGCATCCAGCCCCTGGCCCTGGAGAGAGACTGCTCAGCCAACCGCACCAGCTGCCACATCCTAGGCTGGGGCAAGACAGAATACGGTCAGTAGGACAAGGACGATGGGGGAGAAGGCCAATGGGCGATGGGTCATAGGGAAGGTAGGATCAAAGATGAAGGTGATCCAATGATGCAGACCAGTGGGACCATCGATCACTGGGTGAAAGGTCAATGGGGAAGGACAGCAAATATAGGAATTGGGCCAATGAGTGAATAGCCAATGGAGAAAGTAGACTAATAGATGAATGGTAGGGGTGGGTGGGCCATAAGATGAAGGGTCAATGGGAAGATACCAATGAGGGAGAAGGCCAGTTGTCAAATCGGGACCAATCAGGATGAATTGATGATCAAGAAGAGATAAGCAGAGGGACTAATGAAAGAAGAGAGATTAACAAAGCAGGAGAGCCAACTGAAGAATGAATTGAGAGAGTGAACGGGGAGAGAGAGTTAATGGGGAAAAGACCACTAGGAAAGAGTGAATAATCAAGAAGAGTCACTATAGGAAAGACCAAAGGAAGAAACGATCCAATAAATCAGCAGGAACCACTGAAGGTGGGCCTGTAAGTGAAGGCCCAAAAGAAGAAGGTGGACTATTAGATGAAGGGCCAATGGAAGGGTAGAGTCAATGGGAGAGGGCAGGCATTTAGGAAAGGACCAATGAAAGAGGTGGACCATTGATGAAGGGCCAATAGGAGGAGAGAGCCAATGGGGGAAAGGGGACCAGTAAGGAAAAAACTAATGGTCAACTGGTGACCAATCAGGATGAACCAACGGGAAGAATGATCCAATGAAGGACAAAGGGGTATAATAGAGGAGGTCACTACTCCAGGAAGAGAGTCTAGAGGTCAGCTGTAACTACTGGAGAAGGTGGGGTTGATGGAAGAGAGAGGAGTGGAGGCAAGGCCTAGGAGAAAGGAAAAACCAACAGAAAAATGACTCATGGAGAAGAGGCGACCAATGAGAAAGACAAGTCAATGGGGGAGAAGAATGACCAAAAGAGGGGCCAATCAGGAGTCAGGGCCAATAGAAATGGGTCATAAGAATGACTCATTCTTAGGGAGAAGGGAACTAGTGGGGAATGAGAACCAACAGGGGAGGGAGGAATTTGAGGCATTGGAGGATGGCTGCAGAAGATGTGGGAAGGGTAGGTTGTGAATGGAGCCCGGCCCTTGTCTCTCGTCAGGTAATTTCCCTAATACCATCCAGTGTGCATACATCCACCTGGTACCTCAAGAGGAGTGTGAGCGTGCCTACCCTGGCCAGATCACCCGGAACATGGTGTGTGCAGGGGATGAGAAGTACGGGAAGGATTCCTGCCAGGTGAGGTGGATTACCGGACCTGCCAGTTGCTTACACAGCAAAGGACAGAGACACAAAACACAGAGCGAGGCAGGAAGAGAGAGACACACGCAGACCCACACAGAGCTTAACAAACCGAGAGAGACTTTGAGGCATGCAAAGGGTGAGAGACTCAATTTGACACACAGAGACACAGTCAGGAACAGGCAGAGAAACAAGGACAGCCAGCAGAGACAGGAAATGCAGGCAAGGATGGAGATGGAGAGGTCAAGAACCAAAGAGTCACAGCATGGAGGCAGATGCATGAGGGAACTGTCCTTCTTCAGAGAGAGACTTCACAAGTCCTGCTCAGACACAGCCAAGCTGGAGTGAGAAGGGGCTCCACCCCCCACTCCCAAATACCTTTAACTTGGCTTTGCTCCACTGTTGTCCAGTGGGTCTCCCTACCTTATGCCAAAACTTACTCTGAAGGCTCTGGACTAGCCAAGAAGGAGAGAGAGGGACCAAGATAAAGTGATACATGTGATCTGGATGAAAAGAAAGAGCATGCACATCTCTCCAATCCCCCTCACCCCCCTCCCCACCTCCCCCACCTGTCAGACTCTGTTCTGTTCTTATCTTTCTCTCGATGCCTCTCTGGATGTTGGTGTTCTCTGCTTCTCCTTGCTCCTGATGCTCCCTTGGTCTCTCTATTTCCCTGTGTATGACTGTGTGTCTGTCTCCATCTCAGAGTGTCTCTCTTTCCCTCTCTATATGTCTGTGTGTCTCCTTCTGTCCCTGTGTCTCTCTCCCTGCATTTCTGACTCTCTCCCTCTTCCCCACAGGGTGATTCCGGGGGCCCACTGGTGTGCGGAGACCGTCTCCGAGGCCTTGTGTCATGGGGTAACGTCCCCTGCGGCTCCAAGGAGAAGCCGGGCGTCTACACCGATGTCTGCAGATATTGCCAGTGGATCCGGAAAGTCATTCAAGGCAGCTAGCTCTGACGTGGGACATCCAACTCTTGACTTTGATTCCCACTCGTTGGCTCTAAAATATCTCTGACCAAGACCATGCCTTCCCTTCACCTTCCCAGGCCCGACCCTTCGTGCTTAATTCTGCCTGATTCGACCCCAGCTCCATCCCTGCATCCCTGGGGGTAAGAAGAGACACAGGCTGAGGTCTTTCCCCCGACACTAACAGAATACAGGAGAATCCCTTCTCTCCCTGATTAGCCCATGGGCTTGGTGTCTCCCTCCAGAGGAGTGGTCACAAGTCTAGAAAAACCTGCGTTGAAATAAACGCAGCTCTGCCCCTTGCTATTCATGCACCCTTGGAAAGTGCCCTCCTTCACTGCGCAGAATCTCATCTGCCAAATGGGGATCATGACAGTGAATTCCTCATAAGTCTGTGGCTGCCGTTGGGAGGATTCAAGGTCTCCAACACACTGAAACATGTGCACTGGTGTCTGGCACACCTGCCTGCTCAATAAAGAGGAAATTTCACTGTTGGTGATGCTTTTTTGTTTTCCTCCCATGTCTGCTGCTTGAAACCCAGATATTCTTAGTTATTTTAACAGCCTGATTTGACATATTTTCTGCTCCAGGGAGACCTCCTTGAGTCTTTTGCCTTGTGCTGTCCCTCAGGGGTGGCTCTCTCCCCTTTGTTGGGGTATAAGCAGGAAGGCGAGAGGGTTGGGAGACCACTGTGTGTAGTAAAAGTGATGGGAGAGGATGCCTGGACCAGGTCAACCTCAAACTCCAGGATGAGAGGCTGGGGCTTCCTCCTGACAGCAATGGGGAGTCATGGAAGGGTTGTGAGCAGGAGCAGCACTGGAGACATGTAGGGTGGACCAAGTAGGAGAGGCTGGAGGTCAGAAGAAGGTCAAAGTGATGGGGCATGGAGAGAATGAGGGCTGAGCTGGGCCTAGAGCTGGAGTGCTGGGGAAGAGAGGCTGAATATTAATTCACTGAAGGAGAAGTTTGGGAGGAAGGCATTCTCATAGAGGGAGCAACCTGTAGAAAAGCTTGGGGGTGTGCCCAGAGATGGCACATGGCTCAGGATGGTGGCGGCTGGGGCTTGAGGCAGGAGAAGTGGGGACATGACTGGAAATGTAGGTCAGTGGAAGATGGTGCTGGGTCTTGAATGCCAAGCAGAAAAATTTGGCCTTGACCCTGAGGGCCTTGAGGAAAGGAAGCAGGAGATCCAATCTGGCTATTAGGAAGATCTCACTGGAGTCCATTTTAGGCGGGAGGAATGGGCAGGGAGGAGGAGAGACTGGAGGCCCTCAGAGAAATGAGGGGAGTGGACAGGCAGAGCTGGGGGAGGACCCAGGCTTCCACGTACTTCCTGGGGTTCTCCCACCAACGTGCACCACACGTGACCCTGAACCGAGGTACACCCCTCTGCCCCCCAAACCCCAGGGCTGTGTCTGTCCTCACAGAGGCGCTCTTCTCTTACACCCTGCCCCGCCTGCACCATCCCTGAGGAAAACAAAAATAACATCTAAGTCACATGTCTTCCCAGGAGGATGAGTGGGACCGGTAATAGCTCCCCAGAGAAAGGGGATCAAGGCCCTACATGGGGCTGGGGTTAGGAGCAGAGATATTAGGAACAGAGGGAGGATCAGGGAAGATAATCCAGCTGCTTCCCAAATATTCAAGGCAGCCTTTTTTTTTTTTTTTTTGCCCAGGACAGAGTACAATGAAACTGGCAGTTACTAAACAAAATCAATCCTTTGTCGTTTTTGATGGGAGGATGATGGGGTCCCAAGACAGAGGGAGCATTTGAGAAGAACAGAGACCCTTGGTTCCCAAGATCTTTCGAGTTGGAGAAAAAGCACTTACGTGTCTTCAGGACCAAGGAAATACGAAATTTTATCAAAAGGAGGTGATAGGAAGCAGTGGTTGCCTTTTATGAGTCCGTGGAAATGCTGAGTCATGGGACAGTTCTGGGCCTGCCTTGACCAACCCCTTGTACAAGTTATAAATGAAAATTAGGGCCATGAAATGCCCCTGGATCTGCAGGAGGAAGAAAATCCATCAATGCCCAGACCAAAACCAACTTCCTTTCTTCTTCTCCCTTCATGGATAATAATAATAATAAAACACTCACTTAGCACATGCCAGGAACTGTCCTAAGGGCTGTACATATTAACTCATTTAATCCTCAGGGCAAGCCTGTGCACTGGCTACCATTATGTTCCCTAATGACAGATAGGAAAACTGAGGCTAGAGAGGCTCCCTGATTGGCCCAAAGCCTTATAGGTACTAGTGGCCAGGTCAGGATTTGAATGGCAGGAAGCAGCCTTCTTCAATGCTCTGCCACATGAAAGTCTTCTTTCAGAAGGAGCTCCTACCCTTTGCAACAGCATGAATGGAACTGGAAAGCAATATGCTGAGTGAAATAAGCCAGGCGTTGAAAGACGAATACCATATGAACTCACCTTTAACAGGAAGCTAAACAACAAAACAAACAAGCAAGCAAAATATAACCAAAGACACTGAAACAGAGAACAGGGGGACAGGGACCAGAGGGAAGAAAGGAGGGAATTTCAGGGGAAAAGGGGAAGGATTCACAGGAACAAGTATAAAGCACACATGGACAAAAACTAACAGGGGTGGAAATGGGAGGGAGGTAGGGAGGACTGGGGGGTGGGCTGGGATGGGAGTAAAAGACAGAAAACTGTACTTGAACAATAATTAAATTAAAAAATATTTTTTTAAAGTCTTCCTTTAATTCTGATATGTTTTCAAATTGAGCAGAGAAATATTTAAGGCCCAGTCTTTAACACAAATGGTTTTTGAAGTAGAATCTTTGCACAGTTGGTGCCAAAGGTGCTTGTATGTTTAAGAGGATGTTACTTGTTTTAGGGACAGCCTTGTGACTTCAGCTTGAAATGTGTCATTGATCTGTGATTTTTCAGTTGGAGTCGTACCAACTTTATAATATCCAATGTTGGGAACCTTGAAAAAATGCAACCTTGGTCATTTTTATAAATGTAACATACAGAGACGTAAAAGTGTATTTTAGTGCTGGGAGGTTTGTCTAACAAATGAAAGACTTCCAAAAGAGACTGGATGTGTTTGTTTTAGAAATGTACTCTAGCCATGGCTGGTGTAGCTCAGTGGATTGAGTGCAGGCCTGCGAACCAAAGGATTGTGGGTCGATTCCCAGTCAGGGCACGTGCCTGGGTTGCAGGCCAGTTCCCAGAAGGGGATGCACGAGAGGCAACCATACATTGATATTTCTCTCCCACTCACCTTCCCTTCCCCTCTAAAGATAAATAAAGTCTTTTAAAAATTTATTTAAAAAGAAATGTACTTTAAGATGTTTCAGGATACAGTACCCAGTTTGTAAAGGAGACCAAACATTATTATTTTAAAAAACATAAAAGTGTGTTAAGACATGTCTAAAATGAAAAAGCTTGTAAGCTAAACTTAAAAGACTAAGAAAGTACTAGGTTGCTAGATTTATCACTTTAACACAAGAGATATTCCTCATAATCATCAAAATAAACCTCAGAATTTTATTTTTTTATCCTCACTCAAGAACATTTTTTTCATTGCTTTTAGAAAGAGAGGAAGTGGAAAGAGAGACAGACAGACAGACATTCATTGACTCCTTCTTTTACATATACCCAACTGGGGATCAGACTCACATCCTGGGTATGTGCCCTGACCAGGAATCAAACCCATGACCTTTTGGTCTACAGGCAATGATCCAACTAACTGAGCCACACTGGCCAGGGCTCAGAATTTAATTTTTTTTTTTTTTTTAGTTATTCCCCCCCCCCCCGGTGCACTAAGCCAGCCTCACGGACTCTAAAACCTCTCTTCAACAGGTGCTGAATGACAGAAGTGAGCAAGGCCACTCTGGATTTCCCTTCAAGGAAAGTGACCTCTACAGGGGTAGCATCTCAGGTGTCTTTGTCCATTTTGTTCATGGACAGATCTGAGTCTGGCACACAGTAGGTGCTCAGCGAATACCTGTTAAATGAGTGTTTGGCTCTTCTTACACCCTAGGCAGGTCAGAAACTGGGAGTCACAGAATGGACACAGAGGGCTCACTTTGGCAGCACATATACTAAAATGGGAACGATACGAACAAGATTAGCATAGCCCCTGCGCAAGGGGGACATGCAAATTCATGAAGCATTCTGTATTTTTTTTTGTAATAGCATAAGCAATTAAGCATTAAAAAAAGAAAAGGATGCAGAGAGTTGTGGGCACGCAGAAAGAGAAGGGATGGAGAAGAGGTCAGGAGAGGCAATCTCAGATGGCCCAGCACCAGCAAGGGAGAAGCCACTTTTTGGGTTCCCCACCCAGTGCCCCATTTCTGAACGGGCCAAGAGCCACCCGCCCCCCTATCTTGGCCTCTTGGCCTGTTTCCTCAGCGATGGGTGGCCCTGCCCAACACCCTCGCCCACGCCTGACTGTGCAGCTGGGCCACCGCACAGACTGGATCCCTGCCCTTTTCTGCTCCGTAGTCCCAGCCCCAGGGTGAAGGGCAGAAAAGGTTGGGGGGGGGGGGTTCTTAGCAAAGTGGCCTGAGTCTTCTGGGCCCAAAATGCAGAGTGCAGGAGACAGAGGGACAAAAAGATATAGAGATACAGATACTTAGAACCAGCAACAGGGAAACAGAAAGAGATTGAAAAGGACAGGGTGATCAAGAAGAGAGGCAGGGGAGGATAGATAGAGACCCAGAGGTGTAGAGAGATTAGTCAAGAATCACAGAGACACGCCCTGGCTGGTGTGGCTCAGTGGATTGAGTGCCAACTTGAGAACCACAGGGTCGCCATTTTGATTCCCAGTTGGGGCACATGACTGAGTTGCAGACCAGGTCCCCAGTAGGGGGCGCACAAGAGGCAATTACACATTGATGTTTCTCTCCCTCTTTTTTCCTCCCTGCCCCTCTCTCTAAAAATAAATAAATAAAATCTTCTAAAAAAGGAAGCATCACAGAGATACAAGGTGGAGGCATAGACAGACATGGCTCACCTCTTCACACAACCACATCAAAATTACAACTAAAATATAGAACAACCATCATTCAGAACCATCAGAAATTGAGTTGAATTGAAATCGTATAGCTGCAGAATTAAAGAAAGCCATATCCATCCAGACTGGTGGGAGGGGTGCAAGCATGGAATGGGCAGGTCCGTCACCCACACATAGTGGATAAAAATTTGGGAGGGTCCTGGCTGGTGTAGCTCAGTGGATTGAGCGCAGGCTGCAAACCAAAGGGTCGCCGGTTCCATTCCCAGTCAGGACACATGCCTGGGTTGCAGGCCAGGTCCCCAGTGGGGGCCACGTGAGAGACAACCACACATTGATGTTTCTCTCCCTCTCTTTCTTCTCTCTAAAAATAAATAAATAAAATCTTTTTAAAAATTTGGGAGGGATATCTTGGGAGTGAGGAGTCTGAGTCCCACACCACTGTGTTCAGCCCAGGGTTTCAGTGCCAGGAAGATAAGTCCCCACAACTTCTGGCTGCATAAACCAGTGGGGGTTGAGTCGGTGGGAGAAACTGCTGGAGCCCCAAGCAGTTCCCCTTAGAGAACCCACACATGGACTCACCTACTCAGACTCATTCCCTCTGAGCTGCAGCACCAGGGTAGCAGCTTGAAAGGCACCAGTGACATACTGGGAGGAACCGAAGTGTCTGTCATCAAGGCGAGCAGAGGCCATTGTCCCTTTCCTAAATCCTCCCCCCACCAAGCTAGCAATCTGGTGCCATGTCTGAGACTCCATCAACATGGCTAACACTGTGTGACCCGCCTTGGAGATGCCCAGAGGCTCCACCCCATCCAATTTAAGGGCCCACTCGAGTTGCTTTGACCATATGAATGGCTGGTCTTGGCTCAGGCTTCACAACTTCCTGAATCCTCTCAAACAAACAATCACTGGCCTCAGTGAGCCCCAGGCCCAGCTGTAGCAGCAGCCAGCCTGGATTCACAGCTTGGCTTCCTCTGGGAATCTCCAGTACAAGTAGCAGCCATCTCAGATGGCTTTATAGTTCAGGCAGAGTGGCCCCGGGCAAAACATAGGTCGGGGCTGACCTTGGCCTGCATCACCCAGGAAACCCCAGGGGCCAGTGTACTCAGTGGACACCTACAGACCATGTTGGAGCACCACCACCCTGGTCCTGCATGGTTGATCCTCCACAGAGGGAAAAAGGTGGTGGTCAGTGGTCACAGTCAGTCCTTGCAGCTGACTGGCCTGGATAAATCCCTCCCATTGACCTGCTAACAGCAATCAAGGCTCAACTACAAAGGAGGGTGTAGTCAGCCCACACAAAGGACACACCTCCGGTACCCAGCCTGGGTGATGGGAGAGGCTGTGCCACTGGACCCTACAGGACACCTACCGCATTAGGCCACACTACCAAGACACAGGAGTCAAAGCAGCCCTGCCTAATATATAAAAACAAACACAGGGAGGCTGCCCATATGTAGCAACAAGGAAACATGGCGCAAATGAAAGAACAGATCAAAACTCCAGAAAAAGAACTAAACAAAATGGAGACAAGCAATCTCTCAGAGGCAGAGTTCAAAACGCTGGTTCTAAGGATGCTCAAGAAACTTAGTGAGGACCTCAGCAGCATAAGAAAGATCCAGTCAGAAACGAAGGATACACTGATTGAAATAAAGGAAAATTTACCGGGAAACTACAGTAGAGTGGATGAAGCCAAGAATCGAATCAATGATTTGGAACATAAGGAAGCAAAACACAACCAATCAGAACAAGAAGAAGAAAAAACAACCCCAAAAACTGAAGATAGTATAAGCAGCCTCTGAGACAACTTTAAGAGATCCAACATTGATGTAATAGGGGTGCCATAAGGAGAAGAGAAAGAGCAAGAAATTGGAAATCTATTTGAAAAAAATAATGAAAGAAAACTTCCCTACTTTGGTGAAGGAAATAGACATGCAAGTCCAGGAAGTACAGAGAGTCCCAAATGAGATGGATGAAAAGAGGCCCACTCCAAGACACATCATAATTAAAATGTCAAAGGATAAAGATAAAGAGAGAATCTCAAAAGAAGAAAAGAAGTTAGTTACCTACAGGGGAGTTCCCATAAAACTATCAGCTGACTCCTCAAGAGAAACTTTGCAGGCTAGAAGGGATTGGCAAGAAATATTCAAAGTTGTGAAAAGCAGGGACCTACAGCCAAGACTGCTCTACCCAGCAAAGATGTCAGTTCAAATCGAAGGGAAGATAAAGAGCTTTCCAGACAAGAAAAACTAAAGGAGTTCATCACCACCAAACCATCATTATAGGAAATGTTAAAAGAACTTATTTAAGAAAAAGAAGATCAAATCTACAGACAAATGAAATGGCAAAAATACGTATCTCTCAGCAACTGAAAAATAAACTAAGCAAACAAGAACGGAGACAGAACCACGGATACAGAGAGCATTTTGAGGGTCGCCAGATGGGAGTGGGTGAAGAGGAGAGGGGATTAAGTACAAATAGGTAGTTACAGAATAGCCCTGGGGACATAAAGTACAGTATAAGAAATGGAATAGCCAAAGAACATATACACATGACCCATGGGCATGAACAACGGTGGGGGGGATGGCCTGAGGCAGTGGGGGGGGGATACTGAGTGGAGGGGGACGAATGGGGGGGGGAGGAAATCAGCACAACTGTAATAGCATAATCAACAAAGTAAAATGTAAAAAATAAAGTACCTTATAATTTAAAAATAATAATAATAAAGCAGACTTGAGACTTCCAAAGTATATCTGACATACAAAGTATTCAGAACCATTAAAAAGAGGGAGGATCGTGGAGACGCAGATAAGAGCAAGATACAGAGACGCAGAACCCAGAGAGGTGGGGACCGACAGGATCCTTACGCCCGGGTGGGGGCAGGGAAGTTGAGAGAGAGAGAGACTCACAGTGATACTCCGTGGGTGCCTTATCCTGAAAGAGACTCGGAAAGACCCAGAGGGGAGCAGAAAGAGGTCGAAGGAAGGGTAGACGAGTCCGAAAACGCGGAGACAGAGGTTGGAAAGATGGTACGGAAGGTGAGTGAAGGCGCGGGGAAGAAAGAAAAACCCTCGCGCGGAGAAGCGCCCCCAGAGTGGAGACCCCTCCCCATCCCCGGGGCCTGGGAGGTAGGGAGTGACTGTCAGGACTGGGTGGGGGGTGCTCTGGGGGTGGACGTAGTGGGGAGGCCGGAGGAGTGATTGCTAAGGCCCGGCGGGGCGCCTCACTACCCGGGAATGCGCCCCAGGCGGCAGTGGGTGGTTATAACCCAGGCCCGGTGCGGGAGCCGAGGAGGAGGCGGTGGCAGGACGGCGCAGGCCCGAGAAGTCTGCGGCTGAGCTGGGAGCTGGCTCCCCACCCCCTACCCGGGGGACACGCGCAGGTGAGGCTAGGGGAGGGGGCCTGCGAGCCACCAGTCTCCGCGTCTGGCTCTGGTCTTGGATGCTGGTCTTTCTTCTCTGCCCTCCCTCCTCGCCCGGACTGGAGGGGTGCTGGGTATCTGGATGTGGAGGTCCCCAAAGCTCAGCCCGGCGCTGAGAGTGGGCAACGTCCACCTGGTTCCTCTCTGCCCTGGGGAAAAGGGGTACGGGAGGAAAGGTAAGGGGGGATGGGTGCCCACAATCTCTTGCGCCTCGCCCCTCTCTGGCCTCCCCCGCCAGGCGCAGTGACCATGGCTACAACAGGACGCCCCTGGATGTGGATAGTCGGCGCCCTGATCACGGCTCTGATTCTGAGGGTGACAGGTAACGAGAGCCCTGCGCGCGCGTGACGAAGCTGTGGGTGACTGTGCGGCCCCGGAGGGCCTGTCCCAGGGGCGGCTGCCTGCGGCGGGCTCCGGGACTGGGTGGGCCTGAGTCCACATCCGTGTTTTTGATTGTGTGAGTGTGACTGGGTGCGAGCTTTTGCGTGGCGCCACCGGCGACCGTCGGACTGCTTGAGGCTCTCTGCCCACGGGCGGTCACACGTGACTGCGTGTCTGCGCGGGGCTGCACGCGTGGCGGTGCAGCTGCGCGTGGAGTCGCCGTCCCTGCCTCAGCGGACCGAGTGTGCAGAAGTGGCTGTCTCTCTGAGGCAGTGGCCGTGTGACAGTGGGTGGCGCCAGGTGTGCCACGCTGGGGCCCTGGAGCGTAATCTTGTCACGGGGCCGTCACGCCCGTGTGCGCAGGTGTGCATAGGAGGCATATAGACACCTCACGGCGAGGCGGCGTGCGTGTGAGATCAGGCTGGGCCGCCCCTGAGTGTGGGTACCCAGAGCTGGGTGTGTGGCTGTCCCTGGGGCGACGGCGCGTGTCTCTGTGTAACTGCGTGTGCGCTTGTCTGTGACAGCTGCTGTGTGCGTGTTCCATGGTGCGTGTGTCCATAACGCTTCTCTGGGTCGTCAGCAAGAGTATGAACGAGAGAACAAACTCAGGGGGTCCGGGTGTCTGTTGGTGCGGGCGTGGGAGGCGCATTCAGCAGCCATGCTCTCGTGTTTGAGAATGCAGAAAACCAACTCTGCTCTCGCCTCCACGGAGCCCCCGAAAGCTGAACTTTCCCCCCGCCTGTGTACTCTGACTCGGACGCTTGCCCTCAGCCACACCTCCAGTCAGGGGCCCTTGGGTTCTGCCCACCCCCGTCCCCTTCCCCCCTCGCGGGGTCCAGCCTCTATCACTCCCCCCCATTTCAAACAGGCCCTAGAACCCAGCCCCACATCTTCTCCCAAATTCAAGGCTCCCCCATGTTATAGGAGGACTCCCCCACGTGCCCCTGGTCTTGGCCCTGCCCAAGTCGGCTCCAAGCCCCTCCCACATCCAGTTCTGACCCCATTCACTGAGGCCTGACCACACTTCTTAAAACCAGGTCTTACCTCTAAAGCCCTATTCTCGGGCCTATCCTCACGCCCCACCCCAAGGCTCAATTTTTACCGTCCCCTGTCCCCACTCCTGGGAACACTGAGGGCCAGTCCGAGCCCGGTCTCCCCACGGGAACCCGGGTACTGCCCTTGAGTTCTAAGCGTCACTCCCTCTCTGTGGTTCTACACTCCTCCGAGCTCTGCCTCTAGAGCCCTGGCCCCGCCCCTAAACCCCTGGTCCTGCTTTCTCCACAAAATCGCCCTTCAGAAATCAGACATCCAAAAAAAGGAAGGAAGGAGGGAGGGAGGGAGGGAGGGAGGGAGGGAGGGAGGCTCTGACATCCTAAGACCCACCCTCTGAGTTCAAGCTCCGCCCTCTGAGTTCAAGCTCCGCCCCTTTTCTGCACCCAGAGCCTGTACTTGCCAATGACTTTTTTTCCTGCGACAACTCCCCTGCCGCGGGGGCCGCCGGGAGCACCCAGGACTCGGGGGCTGAGGCCAGAGGGGACACCCAGAGGGACGACAGCAGCAGCAGCAGCAGCAGCAGCAGCCGCATCGTCAACGGCACCGACTGCAAGCTGCACGCCGAGCCCTGGCAGGCTTCCCTGCTGCTGCAGCCCGGCTCACTCTACTGCGGGGCCGTGTTGGTGCACCCGCAGTGGCTGCTCACCGCGGCCCACTGCCGGAAGAAGTGAGCGGGGCTGCAAGAGGAGGGGCTGGGCAGGGCCGGGGAAGGGGGAACGGGAAGGAGGTCTGGAGGAGGCAGGGTCTGTGGGAGACTTTGGAGGTGGAGTTGGGGACGGGAGTCCGGACGCAGTTGGGAGAAAAGAGTGGGTTGGGGAAGGGGTTAAGTTGGGGAGAGGGATGGAGTTAGGAATGGGTCGGGTTTAGGGTTAGGAATGCGAAAGTTGGTGGTTTGGGGGCTGGGAAGGGATTAGAAACAGACTCAGAGTTGAGTTAGAGGTTGGGAATGGGGAAGGGTATTCCTGAGATAGAATTAGGAAACAAATGGAAATTGGGGTGGGGTTAGGGTAGAGTTGACATTGGGAATAGGTGTGGGATTGAGGATGGGGCTGGGATTGGTTAGTTACAGGTGGGGTTGGAGGTGGTGGGATTTGAGGTTGGGGGTGGGTAGATTTGGGGTTTGGGATGCACAGGTTGGGGGCTTCTGTAGGCAAAAGGTTCAGGTTGGGGTTGGGGATGGGGTGGACTGGGGTCGGGACTAGTTTTGTGGCTGTGGTTGGCGTTAGATGTGGTATGGAATTCAGGGTCGGTGGTAACCTGCACCGTCTTCCTCAGAGCTGTCAAAATCCGCCTTGGCCACCACTCCACGTCACCCATATATGAGCATGGGCAGCAGATGTTTCGAGCGGTTGAAACCATCCCTCATCCTCAGTACTCCCACCCGGCCCACGCCAATGACCTTATGCTCATCAAACTGAACAGAAGGGTCCATGAGACTCCGTACGTGAAGCCCATCAACATCTCCTCCCACTGTCCAGCTGCTGGGACCAGCTGCTTGGTGTCTGGCTGGGGAACAACCACCAGTCCCCAGGGTGAGTGTCCAGGTCCCTTCTGAGGCTCATTCGTGTCACTCCTCTCCCTGTCTCTCCGTCTGAGCCCTGTGTCCCTCCCTGTCTGTCTCGGACACTCACTGTGCTCCTATTCTGCATGTCTCCTCTTGACAGTTAACTTCCCCAAGGTCCTCCAGTGCTTGAACATCACCGTGCTGAGTCACGAAAAGTGCCAGGAGTCCTACCCGGGACAGATAGATGACACCATGTTCTGTGCTGGCGATGAAGCAGGCCGAGACTCCTGCCAGGTGAGGACTCTGAAGTCTCTGTTCGTTCATCAGATATATGCCGTGTGCCAGCTACAGAGCCAGGAACCTGGCTGAGTTGCTGAGAAGCCAACAATGAATGACCAGATCAGTTAGGGCCCCGTCCTCACAGAGCTTATAGTGTGGAACAGCACCGTCCAAAAGAAATCCAGTGTGAGGCGTACATGTAGTTTAAAATTTTTCAGTAGCAAGGTTTTTTTAATCCCCGCCCGAGGATATGTTCATTGATCTTAGAGAGAGAGAGACATTGATGTGAGAAACATTCATGAGTTGCCTCTCATACACACCCTGGCTGGGATAGGTTTGTGCCGTGACCAGGGATCGAACCTGCAACCTTCCGGTGTATGGGACAATGCTCTAAGCAACTGAGCCATCCAGCTGTGGCACAGTAGCAGCATTTTTTTAAAGTAAAAATAAACGGGTGACGAAATAGTGCTCAATATTGTTATAAAATTAACAATATCCATAATATAGCATATTTACCCCATGTCTCTCAAGTGCCATCATTTCCAAATGTAATTAATATGAACTAATTATGAATGAGATCATTTACATTCTTTTTTTTTTCAATAGTAAGTCTTTGAAAGCCAGTGTGATTTTTACACTGACAGTCTATCTCGATTTGGGCTGACCACTCCCACTTACCCCCATCTGATGCAGCTGGTGGCTACTGCCTGACAGTTGAGATAGAGAGAGAGAGCATAGGTCTGCTTTGTGTGGTTGGGCAGGTTGGGCACCGCACGGAGATGAAATCGAAGGGGGCACCTTTCATATAAGAGACATATTACGTCTATTGTGTCAGTTTTGCCTCCTTATTGTGGCAAATTTCAAGCAGACAGCAGTTATGTGTCTTGCAGCATGAAAGTTTTTTCAGCCAATGCTGGTAAGACGTCTTGAGGGAGGAAGACAGAAACCCATGCCAGGTACTTTTTTAAAAGAGAGAGGGAACTGTTAATACTGAATATCAATCAAAAAGTTGGTGGAAGGACTGGAGGAGCAAAAAGGTAGGAAGGAGAAAAAAAAACATGGCCAAGAAACTGCCTAAACAGAGTAGTTTCAGAGAGTGGTAAGAGCTATGCAGAAAATAAAACATAGTTTTATGATAGCAAGTGACAGGAGCAATATTCAAAATGATGGTTGGGAGCCCTTCCTGGAGAGGTGGCATTTGAGCAGGGACTGAAGGATGCAAGAAAGCCAGCCTTGCAAAGGTTAAAGGGCAAGGAAAGCGTGTGCAAAGGCCCTGAGGCAGGGAGAACATTGGCTGGTTCAAAGAACAGAAAGAAGCCACTGTGTCTGGGGACAGTGTTGGGGGGCCGATGGCGCTGGTAGGAGTTGAGTCTGGAGAGATGGATGGAGGCCAGTGTTCAGTGATACTTCCTAATCTCCAACACAAAGCTTCCCTGTGTTCTCATGAAAGTCACATACACACTGAGGATGACAGCAATTAAAGTTAAACCGGTCCAGCCATCAGGAGCCTTCCCCTATATTCAGGCCCTCAAGGGTTCTACTGGGATGTGAATGATCAAGCTCTTAACCGGCTCCCCCCAAATTTTACAAACATGACTCTTTCAACAGTTCCCCAGGTCTCCCAATTTCACAGTAGAAGCACACAAATCTGGACAGAGGAGTGGGAATGGGGGTTATCAGAAGAAAACAGATCTAATTTGAATGGCAGCATTTTAAGCCATGTAGCCTTGCTCTGAGGCGAGCTTAGTGCTTGTGTTCGGGTTATTCTATTTTGGGGGTTCGTTTTGGTTTTGTGAGCAGACTAACAAGTTGCTTCTTCATACCAGCACGTGGTCTTGGCTTGGCCACTAAAAGCAAGAAGTAATAACAACCACAATATTGATATGAATAGTCTAGTAAGGACAGCAGCTAAATGGTGGGACACGGTTTTCAGTAGTTCACGTGTATCAGCTGAGTAAGTCATTTAAGTGTTGTTATTACTAGTTTTATTGGACAGACAAGGAGTCAAGGCTCAATGCACTGACTCCCTCCCCAAAGAAACTCTTCAGGGATCTTAAACCAAAACTCAGGCCAAAGAGTCGGCCACAAGAAACTTGAAATTTAGAGTTCCGAGGAGCAAAGCTCTTCTGCCTTAAAACAGTGTCTGTGGGTGGGGAAAGGAGCCTGAAGCCAGCCTTCCTTAGAGTGGATGCCAGGGTCTGTGTCTTCACTCATATTTTGTAGAAACATAAATAAGAAATGACAGTAAAGAGTGGCAAGTATTAGGATAGGAGAACAATGACTAGCTGTGGGGAATTAAGGAGCAGCAACCCCAATTAGTCCAAGGGGGCAGTAATGTCTCCGAAAAGAGGTTCCAGACCTCAACGGCGGTTTAAAGAGTTTATTGGAGCCGCCAGACCCAGAAGCGCATCTCTAGAGATTGAGAAAACACTCCAGGGAATAGCAGGGCTGTGGTTTCTTTCATTGTTAGAATCAGTGGAGAAGATTTCAGGAAGACTGCATGATGTCCCTTGGTGGTAGGTTAAGGAAGCAGGAGAAATCAAAGGGAGGGTGACCTCTAGGATGGAATACAAAGTAACAGGGGGAGATACATGTTGCTTTTACACGGTGGATGCAGGATAGGTACCATCTCATATACATAGTTACTGAGCTATGGGGGTAAAAGGTAACAATGAGGAACTTTGCGGTCCTCTCATCATGGTATCAGGACATTACTCTGCAGATCTGGAGAGGAGATCATTCTGGCATATTAAGTATCTTTTTATCCCAAATGCACAAAACCAATAGACAGGGCCTGCTCAAGGTGAAGGTTAATCTGTCACATGAGACATGACGTCTTGCAATAACCCACTCAGTTAGGATTCTTTTTAATGATCAGAACATCCCATGGGGTTGCTTTCAGTTACTGGGCTTTTCAGACTTGCCACGGAGCCCGGTTTTCATTCACAGCTTTTAACCGGGGGTAATTCTGCACCCTCAGGGGACACAGGACAATGCTGGAAGATATTTTTGGTTGTCACAGCTGTGCAGGGGATGGGAGTGTAAGGAAGGGAGGGCAGTTACTGGTATCTAGTGAATAGAGGCCAAGAACACTGCTGAACATCTCACAACAACACAGAACACAGAGAATTAGCCAGCCCCGCTGTCAAAGGTGCCCAGGTTGAGAAACTCTCTTCCAGGAGCTGAGAACTGCCTCTCGGAGAAAATAAGGTCTAACTACAAGAAGGATTGGCATTAAGGATGGGTGAAGGGGGAGAAGGGGGAAGGAATGAGTGTATAGTAGGAGGAATATGGTACCCCAAGGCTGGAGCAGAGAGTGAGGGCAATAGCAAGGTGCAATGAGAGAGACATGCAGGGGTTGGGTAGAGAGGGGTGTAACTGGGTGCTTGGTGAAGTGTTAATATTCTCTCTCTCTCTCTGTCTGTCTTTATCTGTGTCTCTTCATTTCTCTACATTTCCATCTCTGTGTCTCTATCTCTCGCTGTCTGGTCCTTCTTCACCTGTGGGTCCCCCTCTCTCCACCTCCCCACACTCCTCACTCTCTCTGTACCTCCCTCCCCCCCCACAGGGTGATTCCGGGGGCCCCGTGGTCTGCGGCACAACCCTTCAGGGCATCGTGTCCTGGGGAGACTTCCCCTGTGGTAAGCCCAACAAACCCGGGGTCTACACCAACCTCTGCAAGTTCACCAAGTGGATCCAGGACACCATCAAAGCCAAGGCCTGAGTCACCCCAGCACCCTGCATTCTGGGGCCTCCCACCCCCTGCAAGTCCTCACCCCTACAGGGACCCGACACTCCTCCCAGAACCCCCATTCCTTCCCGAGGATGTTGGGGATGGTAAGCTCCAGTCCCCCGAGTTTCCAGGGTCTGTGGACGGCTCCTGCCTCTCCAATCAGATCCTGGGGACATTTCCCAGAATGGCCAGCAATAAAGCGTGCAAGGAGACGTGGCCTGTGTGTGTGGTCTCCGCCCTGCCGCACTCCCCGGATGGCTGGGCGGCCCGGAGCAAGTCCCTTCCCCCCTCCCTACCTAGTCCTGTGCTTGCTCTGCAAGGTTCTTGCAGTGATAAGAAACAGATTTCCATCCCGGCTGCTTTTCTTCACAAATATTGATCGAGCATCTGGCTGTTGTGTGCCAGAAACATTTCCGAGTCCCGGGGACCCTTCAACAGGCCAAACAGAACAAAAATCTCTGCCTCTCAAAACTCCCTTACCAGGCAGAGAAGACAGACAATAAGGAGATAGACAGATCCATTAGGTGCGATTGTGAATAGGGAAAGGATAGGGGTACAAAGAAAAGAGAAGAAATGTTGGGGAGACGGGCTTTGTTTACACTGGGTGGTTGTGCAGGGGGTGGAGGGGGATGTAACAGCCACCCCCAAAGAGGCCCCCATCCTAAACCCGTAAAACAGGACTGTATTTGGCAAAGGGACCGTGCAGATGTGATTAACTTTGAGGATCTTGAGATAGAAGACTTGTCTGGATATGGCCATTATAACCCCAAAAGGGAGTGGCAGGGAGTCAGAATAAGATTAGATAGTGGTAAACTCCTGGTTTTGGTGATAAAGGAAGGGGCTTGAGCCCAGAAATGTAGCTGGCCTGTAGGGGCTGGAATAGCTGGGGAAGGGACTCTGTTTTCTGGAGCCTCCAAAAGCCGCCACCCTGCCCACCAAAGTCTTGCCTACGGCCCACAGAGACCCCTTTCGGACTTCCAACCACAAGAACTGTCAGACAATAAATTTGTGTTCTTTCAAGCCTCTAAATTTGTGGTCGTTTATTACAGCAGCTCTGGGACACCAGCGGGTAGCATTTGAGCCGAGACCTGCAGGGTGGCAGTGACTACCTCGTGACTATCTGGGGCTTTCACTTTCAGGCAGACAGGAGGACGGGGGCAAAGGCTCTGAGGTGGGGACAGCGGGGGCGGATCCCAGGAACCTGTTAAAAAATCCAACACACACACAGACCAGCCTTGAAGATCCCCTGAGCAAACACCAGTTGAGTTTCCCATGAAGAAATGTCCACGTGTTGTCTAGGTAGATTAACGGCCATATAATAAACCTATCTCAGTAAAACCACACTGTATTTGTTTTGTTCTCTCTTTTATTTGTGTGGTTCCTCTAGATTTTCGTCTGCAGTTGTGAACGTCCCATCGTTGTGGGTAGCCTATTGGGTAAAGGTGCTGCGATTTATTTAACGAGGTTTACTGTGAATGGGCGTTTGGGAAGCGTCTAGTTCCTTTGCCCAGTTTAAAGGTAACGAGCTGACGTAACATTTGTGTCCATGATGACGAAAAGCATGGGAGAAGCAGTGAGCTTAATTCTCTGCTTGTTTCATCTCCGTGTTTCTGCCTCCTCACAACAGAACCCAGGCCCACCCAGGGTCAGGTGTAGGCTCAGGGGTGAAGGAGACATCACAGGGAAAGCTGAAGTGGATGAACCAGTCTGACTCCGCACAGGGCGAGTTGGGCGAAATATGAGACATGGCGATGATTCTCCCCAGTGCATTGCCCTCTGAGGCCAACTATTACTCAGGGTGGCACGTGACCCCAGTTAAAGATAGTCACCCTGCCTGTGGGTGGCCATGTGACCTGATTCTAAGCAGAGAGATACAAGCTGAAACCTAGTGGCTGGGTTTCCCTGGGAAGTGTTTGCTTTGCTGAGAAAAGAGAGAGGGCATGTGTTTGGGGACCTCCCCTCCTTTTCACCTGGGACGTGGGTGCCCAGAGGTGGTTTTTCCTGAGGATGTAAGGTACAGAATAAAGATGGAACCACAAGCAGTAAGAAGAAGCCCACGTTTTTTAAATATTTTTTTAATTGCTGGCTTGCTTACGTACCTACTCCCAGCATGGACTCCCGATATCTGGGCTTGAAACAGGGACAAATCCTCCAGGACCTGGGCCACTGTCTCCGGCTTTCCACACGCTGAGACGGACCAAGATCGGGGAAAATGACATCTTGAGAAACTCAAAGTGGAGCCACGAGATTGAGCCAGTTTTCCAGGGTAGGTTTGACAGCGTCTCCGCGTCTGTGTCTCTTCCAGTACCGGAGGCCACCTCCAGAGAAACAGGAGGGGATGGGGAACCCGGATGCCGTCTCCACCAAGCGTAGGGAGGATGGATGTGTTTCCTGCCTGGTGATGTAAGTGGCAAGAGAATAAGCTTCTTGCCCTACAAGATGTTAAGACATACGACAAAACACGAGTCACGTAGTTGGGGAAAAAAAAAAAGTGTGGTGTGAATGCAAAGGCAAACAACTGATCGAAGAAGGAGCTCAGAAAGAGGTCCGTGAGAACTCAATGTAATGGTATCTACAATATATGAAGTCTGATAAAGTAGAAACCCAAATGAAGAGGAGGAAGGCAGTCTGCTTAGTAAGTGGTGCGGGGGAAACTGTCTCACTGTGCAGAGGAAAATAAGCCTGGGGAATATAGTCAACAGCACTGTAATAATCATGCCCAGTGCCAGGTGGGTACTAGACTTACTGAGGGGAACACTTTGTAAATTATTTAAATGCCTGACCGCTCTGCTGTACACCTGAAACCAATATAAAATAATACTGAATGTCAGCCACAGCCGAAAAATAAGTTCAAACATGGGGAAAAGACAAATAAAGTTTAAAAAACAAAATAAACGTGCAAAATAAAGAAATAAACCTAGATTCCTCTGTAACAGCACCTATGAAGATAAGACTCCATGCGTCTTAAAGACCAAGAGGTGAAAGTTAATCGCAGAAAATCGGGGAGGACATCTCTGGATCTCTGTGACAAGGAATGACTTGTAAAACTTCAAAAGCCCTGATCCTAGGATGAAACATGGTTTGATTTGATTACGTCAAAATTAAGAGACAGAGTTAGAGGGTAGAAGGGACCATTAACAGGCATTTGTCAGAACTGGAGGAGCTATTTGTAATGTGAGACATGGACAAAGGACTAGAACCTGTAGGATGCAAGACGCATCGCCCTGGCCAGGTGGCTCAGTTTGCTGGAGCATCGCCCAACCAACCAGAACCTACACCAGAGTGTTGCAGGTTCAATCCCTCATCCGGGCACATGAAGGAGGCAACCGATCTCTCTCTCTCTCTCTAAAAATCAGTAACAAAAATCAGTAACAATGTATCTTTGGGTGAAGGTTAAAAAATTAAATTATGTTTCAGAATTAATCAGAAGAAAAGTGGGTCGAGGATGGGCACCAGCAATTTGCAGAAACAGAACTTCGAGAGCTAGCGTTTGCGTGAGATGTTCACACTCATGGGTTATCAGGGCAAAGTAGATAGAAACAAAGAGATGCCCCTTTGCACCCCTGAGCCTGGGGAAAAGGCAACTGTGCTGGGAGAGGGTCAGGCGAGGTCAGAGATGAACAGATGTTAGAACACTCAGGTGGTGCCTGCAGTTCTGAGGAAAAATCTGGCCCGATTTCACGGAATTACGTGATGACTCGGCCTCTGATTCAACAATTGCTCTCCTGGCAACACGTCCCAGAGGAATACCTACACACCCACAAGGAAACATGTGCAAGCATGTGCCTGGCAGTGTTCTCTGTGGTGGCTGGGAGCCGGCAGCCTGCACGTCTCATGGGGGAAGGGGAGGGGGGACTGTCTGATAAATGTGTGGGCGGCACCGTGGCCTTGGATACACCAGGGCAGACGCATGCACACAGAAAAGTTGACGGGCCTTAAAAACACAGCGGTGTTGCCCTGGCTGGTGTAGCTCAGTGGATTGAGCGCGGGCCTGCGAACCAGACAGTCGTGGTTTGATTCGCAGTCAGCGCACATGCCTGGGTTGCAGGCCAGTTCCCTGCAGGCCGATTCCCAGCAGGGGACGCAGGAAAGGCAAGCACACATTGATGTTTCTCTCCCTCTCTCCTTCCCTTCCCCTCTAAAGATAAATAAATAAAATCTTTAAAAAAAAAAAACACAGCGGTGTTTGAAAATCGACATAACGTAAGAGATACCTGATCTAATGCCAATGACTTCAATGAAAATTACAGGCCCATAAGAACCGCACTGCCCATTTTGTGAAAGGGAGGAAGGGGGAGTAAAGTGAAAAGGGATTCTGTACACACCAGTGATGATAAAGATGCATATGCTCCTCAGCCTCTGCCCCTAAGGTATAAAAAGAGTAAAAAGAAGCTTGTAAAACCGCCACACCTCGCAAGGACTGTGTCCTGGGGGTGAGCCCCCTGCGGGGTTAGGAAAACCGAGAGAGCACCGTGCATGCGCGCTCGGCGTGGTGCACTCGGTGTGGCCACCTTCGGATACTATTTTATACCCCTGATTTAGTGAATTACCACTTCATCTAACCGAATTGTGGCTGCTTCTGGCTGGATTCCATGCCCCGCTGGAGTGCACAGAATTGGCTCGAGATCTCTGGGACACCACGACAAAGCGCGAGAAGCGCCCTGGGGTGTGGCCCATGGGGTGTGGTCGCACCGGAACCCTGGTGCGTCCTCCACCCCGCGTCCTCGCTGTTGGGGTGGTTGATCCTGGCTAGCAACCGAGGTCAGGGAGTGGCCTCAGTTTTGTTAGTGGGAATATTTTCCACATGCGTTCCACACACCAGATAAGTATCGAATTGCCGGCTGCAGAGAGGCTGGCTGTGGGTTTATCTTTTGTTAGCAATCATAGTAACAATGACGACAGCTCCCATTTATTGAGTGCCAGACACCTCACTGTGTCTGCCACTCCAGGTTCTGACAGAAACCTCAGGAAGGAGGTTCCCAAGTCAGCAGGCCGAGGGGCAGCGAGGTTGGGGGTATCCGGCTCCATTTCTGAAACCACAACACCCCCGAGCCAACAAAAAATCGCACTTGGGGACGGAGGGCCACAGCGAGGGAGAGGGAGGCAGACAAGGAGGGGAAGAGCCTGAGAGCATTAAAAAAAGACTAGAAACTATTGAAAGGAGAACTCAGATTGAAAGAGGGAGAAAGACAGACAGAGAGAGAGCCTGCAGTTTGGGGAACTTTAAAAAAGAGGCTGAGCCCTGGCTGGTGTAGCTCAGTGGATTGAGCGCAGGCCTGTGAACCAGACAATCACGGTTCGATTCCCAGTCAGGGCACAATCCTGGGTTGCAGGCCAGTCCCCTGCAGGCCAATTCCCAGCAGGGGACGCATGAAAGGCAACCATACATTGATGTTTCTCTCTCTCTCTCCTTCCCTTCCCCTCTAAAGATAAATAAATTTAAAAAATTAAAAAAAAAAGATTTAAAAAAATAAAAAAAAGAGGCTGAAGCAGAATCCTAGAGAAAGGCTCTGAAGAAAAACTTAGAAAGATGGAAGACGGACTAAAATTAGAAAGATAGAGATACATGTACAAGTATACGGAGAGAGAGAATTCCGTGGTGAGAACTGCGGGGGAAGGGGCAGTCCAAGGTGGAGGAGTGTTTTTTGCTGACCCTCTACCTCCTCCCCCCAACTTCCAGATCCCCCCACTTCTCTCCCCACCCCAGACCCTGGCTGTGGGGCCCCCACGGACAGTGCCCATCCCGTACCACAGAAGTGTCGCATGCAGCGACTGGCTGGATTCAGATCTGCATCTATTTCCTGCTCTGTGGATGGAGCCACCTCGCAGGACAACCGTGAGCATTAAAGGGCGGAAGGGCCAGGGCACTGGGCCTGCGAGTTGCTTCTGTGATCATCAGGAATATTAGAAGAGAGCCTTTGGGCCCCATCTCTCGTACATTCCCAGGGAACTTGTTAGGAACGAACATTCTTAGCTCCCCCTGAGACCAACTGAATGAGGAGTTGCATTTTAGCAAAATACCCTAGTTGTTCGTGCACGCTTACAACTTTGACAGGAGCCCCAAAGAAGGGAATTTTAAACGCCAGGTGCTGGAATCCGTCGTTTGCTCTCTGGCGCCACCTTGAGGCCCCTGTAAGAACCGCCCTGGGAAAGCCGTGGGCGTGGCGTGAGGTTTGGAGTTTCGCAGCCTTTGTTCCCAGGCCAGTTGTGCACGAGCTACTTCACCTCTGTACCCATGGAAGGGTCAGGAGCCTTACCTGTAACGCCGAGATGACAATTCCACCTCATGCCCAGTACCTGCCCCAGAGCTGGTGCTGAGAAATGTTCTAACGCTTGCAGGAGGCATCACTGTTTTCCAGATGGAGCCCAGGGGGTAATTCAGAGAGCGGGTTAAATTGCGTCCCCCAAAAGAAGTATGATGAGGTCCTAATCCCCCGGAACTCAGAATGTGACCTTACTTGGAAATGCAGTTCTGCAAGGAGGTGACACTGCAGCAGGGTGGACCTTGAATCCAACAAGACCAGTGTCTTTAGATAAAAGAACAGGGAAGACCACCCTGGCCACGTGGCTCAGTTGCTTGGAGCATCATTCCACACACCAAAACGCTGGTTGCAGGTTCGATTCCCGGTCAGGGCACATACCTGGGTTTTGGGTTCGATTCCTGGTCAGGGCGTATACAAAGAGGCATCTGATCAATGTTTTCTTCCCTTCTTTTCTCTTCTCTCTCTCTCTCTCTCTTTCTCTCCAGTGGTCAAGGATTGAGGGCCACCACGAGGAGCTGGAAGAGGAAAGGAAAAAGCCTCAGAGGGAGCACAGCCCTGCCGCCACCTTGACTGTGGACATCTGGCCTGCAGCGCTGTGACAAGATAAATGTGTGCCGTTTTCAGCCACTCAGTTTGTAGTCTTTGTTACAGCCGCCGTAGGAAACTAATACACCTGAGAAGGTTGTTCTCCTGTGAAAGTTAGATGAAGGCAATAAGAATATCTCAGGACCCCTTTACTCTCGAAGAAGAAGTTATACATAGGTCTGCTTTACAAGGGAAAATATACAGATGTCCAATAAGTACATGAAAAGTTGTTCATTATCATTAGGCGTGAGAGAAATGCAGCTTAAAACCATGCAATCAATGGCTGAATGCCCAAACTCCAAAAGGAAGCAGAGATGGAGAACACTCAGAATTCCCCTCCAGAGATGCGGGGAGCCTACTATGGTGTAACAACTTTGGGAAAAGGTTTGACACTTTCTTGTAACACTGAACAGAATCTACTCTACGCCCAACAACCTCACTTGGAGGCATTTGTCCGAAGGAAACTCGCCAGCACAGGTTCCCACCCAGACTTTTACTCAAACATTTGTTGGTGGAAGCTTTATTTGTAGTAGCCCCAGGTGTTAATCGACAGGAGAAAGGATGAACAAGCTGTGCTGTGTTCAAATAATGGATATTCCTCAGCAGTCGAAAGGAACAAATCGCTACTCCCTGAGCGAACCTCAGACGAAAGAAAGAAGCCTTTTGTCTCCACTTAATGGGACATTCCAAGGCAAACAAAAGTAGTCTATGGTGGGAAGAAAGTGGAATCCCTCTTGCCTCAGGTTGGGGTGGGGACCGATGGGGACTTGGCAGGAGGGAACTTCCTGGGTTAATGGCAAATGTCCTCCACACTGATGGGATTCAGGGTGCGGAGGGGTGTACGGTTGTCAAACCTCACTGAAAAGGAAGCTTTAAGTTTTGTGGATTTCACTGCATGTGAATTTCACCTAAAAAATAAACAAAAAAAACTGAATTGTAATAAGTGACATGTGTTTGAGAGTTTAGGACAAAGTGTACCAATGTCTGTGACTTTTAAGGAAATGTGTCAAAATTAAAATGGATGGCCCTGGCCCTGGCTAAGTCGGTTGGAGTGTGGCCCCATACAACAAAAAGTTGTGGGTTCAATCTCAGGTTGAGGGCATGGATGTAAGGCAACTGATCAGTGTTTCTCTGTCACATTGATGTTTCTCTTTCCCTGTCTCTCTCTCCTCCTCCTCTTCCTCCTCCTCCCTTCCTCTCTCTACAATCATTAAAAACAGATCCCCGGATGAAGATGAAAAGAAAAATTAAAAAAAAATAATAAGATACAAGGTCAACAGACATGGGATTAAGCAAGTATAGTAAAATATTAATGGTGGAATTTAAGTAGTGGGTACATGAGTATTTGCTCTATATTTCCTTCTTTTTAGCTTTTAGTTATTTATTTTCAGAGAGAGAAGAAAGGAAGGAGGAGAGGGAGAGAAACATCAATGTGTGGTTGCCTCTCGTGCGCCCCCTACTGGGGATCTGGCTCACAACCCAGGATGTGTGCCCTGACTGGTAATCTAACCAGCAACGCTTGGGTTTGCAGGCTCATGCTCAATCCACTGAGCCATACCGGCCAGGGCTGCCGGTATATTTCTCTTAACTGTACCAGATGCTTGAAAATGTTCATGATAAGAGTGTTGGGAGGGACATCAGACATGTGCCTGGCGAAATTCTCAGTGGCTGAGTTCCCCATCTTCATTGCCACCAGCTTACCCTAAGCTGTTCTCCTCTCACCCCTAGACAATCATTCATTCATTCATTCATTCAACAAATACTTATTGAGCACCTACTATGAGCACTGTCCTCAGTTCCCAGACGACACCATTGAACAAGTCATAGAAAGTCTGTTTTCACGTGCCTGTTTTCCTTTCTAGAGAAACAGAAAGGCAACACATATAAATACGTGTTTAATATTTGGGGGGGAGGGTGCATTAAATATTATGAAGATAGTGCTTGGGAGCGGTTTCATTGGCTGATCAGGAGAGGCCTCTCTGGGCAGGTAGCTGAGATCACAGAGGAGAAGCAGCGTGGGAGACAGCCCGGGAGGTGGTGGCCGGAAGAGAATTCCAGAATGTGAGGCCGGCGCCCCCTGCTGGGCCACTGCAAAGGCCTCTCTGCTCCCTATTGGTTTTTGCCTGCTCCGCCCCTCATTTCTCCTCCACTCAGCGGCGAGGGGCGGGGACTGGTTTCAGGCAAGGAAGGGCCTCGGGTTCTGCAGCTCCCGGCAGCAGAGGTTAGGCCGAGAAGGGCTCGCTGTGGAGTGTGCAAGGGAGGATGAAAACACTGGGTCGTTGCCCTCAAGAGTGGGAAGACACTCCAGCCCCTTGCACCCCTCACCATCCTCATCAAAATGCCTCTGTGAACTCTTGTGGTAGCTTTAAACCTGGCAGCAGCGGGGATTCTCACAAAGGGAGGACTGGGGGGCGGAGGGACAGGGTGGTTGGTGGGGGTGAGCCTGGACTGAGTCCCCACCCCCAGCAGGGGAAGAGGGTATCGGGCAGAGCCTCTTGGGCCCACCCCTTGTGCCTGAGTCTTTTCTGCAACACAGGCTGGGGCACGTCGCTCTGAGGAATTCTGTCAAGAAATATAAATCAACGAATGCATTTGGAGAAGAGGGAGGGAGGGAGGGGCAGCTGCTTGCTAGAAGCGGGGTCACTGGCCAGGCCAGAATTTGGTCTCTGACCGTGTGGCTGAAGGTGGGTTTCTCGTCGCCCGTGTTCACACTCTTACACACAGATGCACACTCACGCAAAAGCACACAGCACTCACATATGCGCTCTGACAGCATGCTCACACACACTCAGATAGTCTCACACTCATACGCATCCTCACACACTCACACACACAGTCGCAGACCCGGCTGGGGGATGGGTATAACACTGACAGGGTGAGGGGTGCGTGGGGGGGGGCGCAGTTAGGGGGATTGTGGAAGGGACCTGGGACCCTGAGAAGCACTTCAGTCTCTAACGCAGGAAGGAAGCAAGGAGGGGCAGCGCCGGGTGGCTGAGAGATGCATTTGGAGCCAACAACATTGGACAGAAATACACGCCGTCGTCAGCCGTTGGGCACTGGAATATCAAGGGGAACACTTTGTAAATCATATGATTGTCTGACCACTACGCTGTACACCTGAGACTAACATTGAATGCAAACTGTAAGTGAAAAAAAGTTTTTACAATTTTTTTAAAGAGAGAGAGCCAGAAAGTGTAAGTTACAGACCTAAGGACTCAGAGTGAAACCCCTAGAAACGGTTGTGATGAGAAGTGAGGGGTCAACAAAACAACCAGGAGCAGCTTGAACTGAGTCTTAACTCCTGTGAACTTGAACTAGCCAGGGCGGGGGTGGGGGGGTGAAAATGTCGAGGGAATTTGGAGCCTGTGTCAGGACCCTACCAGGTGAAGTGAAGACGAGAACCGGGCTCCATTCTCAAATGTCTGTCTTTGTCTCTCATTAAAAATAAACCAGTGTTGGCCCTGGCCGGGTAGCTCAGTTGGTTTGCATGTCGTCCCAATACATCAAGGTTGCAGGTTCAATCCCTGGTCAGGGCACATACAAGAATCAACCAAGGAATAGATGGAACAACAAATCAATCTCTTTCTGTCTCTCTCCCTCCCTCCCTCTCTTCCTCTCTCTCAAATCAATACATTTTTTAAAAATTAAAAAATAAACCAATGTTGACATTTCTTGTGTGTACACTAGAAAGACATAACGGAGCAGACATCTATAGGCATACAGCTATCAAAAGCCAACGTGCCTTGGCTGGTGTGTGGTCCAGTGGATCAAGCATCAGCCTGTGAACCAAAGGGTTACTGGTTCGATTCCCACTCAGGAAACATGCCTGGCTTGCAGGCCAGGTCCCCACGCGAGAGGCAACCACACGTGGATGTTTCTCTTCTTCTCTTCCTCCCTCACTTACCCTCTCTAAAAAAGTAAATTAATTAACTGTTTAACAAGGCCAAAGCACTGGGTCCTAATGTTAACATTGTTGTCTGTGAAATGGCAAGAATAACAGCACAGTCTGGTGGGGTGGTTTCAAAGACAGTGAAATGAAATATCCAACCATGCTCTGTAATTTGGACTTGGGTTATGGAAAAATCATCCAGAAATCACTCTGCCCAAACATAGGCCCGAGGGAGTAGGCAGAGAGTGATGAAATTGCTCAATGTCACAATCAGACACTCGTGCTGGTTTTTTTAATAGCTTTTTTTTTTAAACAATGCACCTTAAGAAAGAAGTTGGAGAAAGCTTCAGGGAGGGCTGTGTCATGCACCTCCAGTGATAACGATTACGAGAGCCATCACCGGCTTCCACAGTTAGTCATTGACGGCTTCTGCAACCGACCCCATGAGGTGTCACAGGTTTTGCAACCAACTCACCCAGCAGGGCGTCTTTTTTCACACTGAATTTTTAAGTGTGCTAACTAGTCATACACCATGAGCATGTACCCTTCTGCCCATTTGTTTGCGTGTGCCGTTCAGCAGTGTTCAGCATGCTTACATTGTTGCCTGACTGACCTCCAGAACTATTTCATCTTGCAGAATTAAAACTCTGTACCCTGTTCAACATTAAATCCCCATTCCTCATTCCCCACCCCTGGTGCCCACCATTCTATTTCCTATCCCTGTGGATTTGACTACTTTTATTTTATTTTTTAAAGATTTTGTTTAGCCCTGGCTGGCATAGCTCAGTGGATTGAGTGCAGGCCTGCGAACCAAAGGATTGCAGTTTGATTCCCAGTCAGGGCATATGCCTGGGTTGCAGGCCAGTTCCCAGCAGGGGACTCATGAGAGGCAACCATACATTGATATTTCTCTCCCTCTCCCCTTCCCTTCCCCTCTATAGATAAATAAATAAAACCTTTAAAAAAAGGTTTTGTTTATTTATTTTTAGAGAGATGGAAAGGGAGGGAGAAACATCAATGTGTGGATGCCTCTCATACGCCCCCTACTGGGGACCTGGCCTGCAACCCAGACATGTGCCCTGACTGGGAATCAAACCAGCAGGACCCTTTGGTTCACAGGCTGGCACGCAATCCACGGATCCACACCAGCCAGGGCTGACTATTTTACAACAGCACATGTAGGTGGAATCATACAGTATTCACCTTTTTGTGGCTATCTTCTTTCGCTTTGCATCATGTCCTCAAGGTTTATCCATATTGTAGCATGTGACGAAACCTTCTTCTTTCTCAACACTGAACAACAAACAGTCCATCGCATCCATATGCCACATTTTGGACACTTGGGTTGTTCACACCTTTTGGCTGTTGGGCATAGTGCTGCTGTGACCCTGGGTGTGCAAATAATCTTTTCAAGACCCTGCTTTCAATCCTATTAAATATATGCCCATCAGTGAAATCAGCAGGTCTTTAGTTATATAGAAGGAAACTAAGCCATCAAGTTTCATTAGTAGCAAGTGTGGTTTCTCTCTCTCTCTGTCTCCCCCCGGAGTCAGGCTGCCTGGGTTCAAATCCCAGCTCTACCATTTACCTGCTGTGTGCCTTTGGACAAGTTACTTCACTGCTCTGCCCTCGGTTTTCCCACCTGTGAATAAAATTATTAACACAACCTATAACTTGCAGGCTTTTGTGAATGATGGTGCATACATGCACAAAGTATCTTTTTAGTGTTTACAGAATCTGGAATACACACAGATGCGTGTGACAGCTTGATCTCAGGGATATGGTGCCGGGTGGGAAAAGAGACCCTCATATCAAAGAGTCACAGACGGTCTGATGCCATTTCTACAACATCCTCAAAGTCAGGGCGTAGGGTTGGGGGAAGGGTGTGGTTGGTGGGATTCTTACAGAATAACCCAAGGGCATTTTTTCTTGTAATGGTTGAGGTGGAGAGAGAGAGAGAAAGGGAGAGGGAGGGAGAGAGAAGGAGGAATGGTGACATTAAAATAAGATCATTAATCTGAATTAACAGCACTGTCACAGTGACAATTTTCTAGTCTTGGCAATGCACTGTGGTTGTGAAAGGTGTCCCCGCTGAGGGCTATGTGAGCGCCTGGTACTATTTTGCAACTCCTTGTGAGTCTTGGACTACTTCAGAACAAAATGTTATAATAAAAGCATGTCTGGTACATCAGAAGCGCTCCAGGAAAATTAGTTGTCATCATCCTTGGTCTTCCTATGTGCATTTTGCATTCGATCGTATTGGCTGTATTTTCAGGATCCTTTTTCTGGCCCAAAGGAGTAACAATGTCCCTTGGGTGGGTTGGAGGGGGGGAGGGAGCACGCCTCCCACTGACCTCTCCCAGACCGAAAGACTTCAGCGGCAAACATCATCATGAATCATCTGTCATGTTCACGCCAGCCATTGTTTTATACGGTGTGTAATTATCTCAACAGTGTTTCACAAACCTGGAGAACTAAACCAGGCATTACAGGTCTCCGATGCTTGTAACAGGAAAAAGAGTTTTAAAGGATTCACCAAGTGTTCTGAACGCCAAGGAGACACACTGTTACGGCAGAAGCCCAGCCCCGCAGCTCAAGGCGAGAGGAAAACAATGTGTCTTCACATTTGCTGTTTCTGTACAAAAGCCTCCAGACAACGCAAGCCACGTAGTGTAGTTGCTGTGTTTATAAGAAGGGATGGGGGCAGGATTTAGCACTCTATACCTTTTTTCTATTTGTTTAATTTTAGAGAGAGGGGAAGGGAGGGAGAAAGAGAGGGAGAGAAACATCAGCGTGTGGTTGTCTCGCACGCGCCCCCTACTGGGGACCTGGCCAATAACCCAGGCATGCGCCCTGAGTGGGAATCAAACTGGGACCCTTTGGTTCTCAAGCCAGTGCTCAATCCACTGAGCCACACCAGCCAAGGCAGGTGGCTGATATTTTTTAATGCCTAGAACACAGAGCCCAGAAATAAGCCCAAGTATATAAAGTCAACTGATCATTGACACCAAGAATACTCAAGGGGGCAAGGACAGTTTCCTCAACACACAGTGTTGGGAAAACTGAAAAATCTTTTTTAAAAAATGAGCAAAAGACTGGAATAGACACTTGTCCAAATAAGACATATAAATGGTGAGCGGGTATATGGAAAAAATGCTCGACATCACTAATCAACAAGGAAACAGAAATCCAACTCACAATGAGATGTCACCTCACACCGGTGAAGCTGGCTATTACTCCAAAAAAAAAACTAAACTGTAACACGTATCGGGGAGAATCTGGAAAAACTGGGACTCTTGTTCACTGTTGGTCATAGTATAAAATGGTGTGGCCACTATGGGAAACATTATGAAGGTTCCTCTGAAAATTAAAAGTAGAGCCGCCCTGTGATGCAGCAACTCTACTTCTGGGTATTTACCCAAAAGAATTGAGATCGGCCTCTCCAAGAGACATTTCTTTCTGTACCCATGTTCACTGCGTGTACCATTACTCACAACAGCCGAGATGAGGACACCACCCAAATGCCCATCGACAGGCGAATGGAGAAAGAACATTCATTTCACAGGATATCCTGCAGCCTTGACAAAGAAGAAAATCCTGCCCTGCCTGATGTGACTCAGTGGATTGAGGACCAGCCTGTGAACCAAAAGGTCACCAGTTCACTTCCTGGCCAGGACAGATGCCTGGGTTGCAGACCAGGTCCCCTCGATGCGGGGATGTATAAGAGGCAACAAATTGGTGTTTCTCTTACACATTGATGTTTCTCTCCCTCTCTTTCTCCATCCCTCTTTAAAAAATAAATTCTTTTTAAAAATCCTAAGAAGTAGCTTCAGGAGATACAGAGCACCCGGACCTTCTGGCATCCCAGCTTCAGGAGATTTGCTGACTTTCAACTGTGGAGTCAGGGGGGTATGAAGCCGGGATGACTAAGCCAGGATGATGGACACGGAGTCACCTGCCTTATCAGAATGGACTGTGCTCATTCCCACACAGAGGACTTTGCAGCCTCCTCCCTCCATCTCCTTGTTCTGTTCCCCTCTTTCCCTCCTTATAAACACCTCTGCCTCCAGGGAGAGCTGGAGGCAGGCTTTGAGACACGAGTCCCCCATCATCCAGGCGGCCAGTACCTGAAAACGAACCTCTTTGCTTTACATCAGCTCCTGCCTCTCAATATTGGCTTTGGCAATGGCGGGCAGCCAGACCTGTGTTTGGTTATAGGTTACGGTGTTGACCTTGACGTGGGTGTTTTGTCCTCACAGAGGAGCTTGGGTTCCAGTGGAGGAGACAGGAATAACGGACGAGCGAATCAATAAATACGTCAGAGGACTTTACGATGGGTAAAATAATGCCCACCAGCCAAGAGGTCCTGGGAATGTGTGATCATGCTTGAAGACTTTACAGATGTGATGACTTACAGATCCTGAGATGGAGTGATTATCCTGGATGATCTGGTGGGTCCAATGAGTCCATGAGGGTCCTTAGAAGAGAGAGGCTGCCCTGGTTGGTGTGGCTCAGTGGATTCAGTACCGGACTGCCAACCTAGGGGTCGCCGGTTCAGTTCCCAGTCAGGGCACATGCCTGGGTTGCAGGCCGGGTCCCCAGAAGGGGGCGCACGAGAGGCAACCACACATTGATGTTTCTCTCCCTCTCTTTCTCCTTCCCTTCTCCTCGCTCTAAAAATAAATAAAATAATTTTTAAAAAAGAAGAGAGAAGCAAGGCCATCAGAGTTAAACAAGGCAAAGTGAACTTGGAAGCAGAGGGTGGGGGGTGATGCCATTGCTGGCTGTGATGGTGGATGGTGACAATGACAGTAACAGCAGTTGCCACAGAACTCACCTGTCCCCTCTAGCCCTCCACTCCTTCACCATCGAGCTGGGCCTGCTCGGTCTTGAGGCCCACAGGCAGCCAGATGATCGAGTCCAGCCTCATCATAAAGCACCCAGAGTACGACAAACCTGTTGTGACCGACAACCTCATGCTCATCATGTTGAAAACGCCAGTGACTCCCTCTGTCACCTCACACAGCATGTCAGCATCACCAGCACTGCCAGCATCGCCTCCCAGTGCCCAGCACCATGTCTGGCTGGGGTCAGCTGGGGGATGGTGAACTTAGGAATGTGGGCGTGCTTTCCTCCTCTGAGGGTTTCCTGCCCACCCCGAGGGGCTGACCCAGAGCTCTGTGTCCCAGGCAGACGCCTGGATGGTGTCTGAGTTCTGCAATACCACCCATGCCCCTCAGACCACCACCCCAGCAAGTCCTGTGCTTTGTGAGAGATGAGGGTAGGGGAGCAGAAAGGAAATCCAGGGAGAGACCCGGGAGACAGCGACAAGGGGAGAGATCGGGAGAAAGAGACTGAGATGCCAGAACAAGAAGAAGCAAAGAAAGAAACAGAAATAAGCACAGGGAGACACAGGGAGGCAGGAACACACGCAGAGAAATACGCTGACAGAGAGATTCAAAGATGAAAGGCAAAGAGACATGGGAAGAAGAAAAAAAAAAAGATTACACAAAGAGACACAGAGCCCTGGCTGGTGTGGCTCAATGGATTGAGCACCAGCCCACAAACCAAAGGGTCATTGGTTCGAGTCCCAGTCAGGGCACACGCCTGAGTTGCAGGCCACATCCCCAGTAGGGGGCGCACAAGAGGCAAACCCACAATGATGTTTCTCTGTCTCCCTCCTTTCCCCTTGCTCTAAAAATAAATAAAATCTTTTTTAAAAAGAGAGAAAGAGACGCAGACAGACACACAGATTCTGGAAGCCACTGAAATGGAAAAACGAGACACAGACAGAACAACAAACCATTAGGACACCAGAAGCAGAATTAGGCGCAGCCAGAGCTCAGTGGGACCTCTAATGGGTATGTTGCTATTTTTTTTCTCTCTTTTTTCTGTTTCCTATCTTTCTCTTGGTCTCGTTTGGTTGCTTTCTGATCTCCCATCGAAGGCTACCTGTCTGTGTTTTGGAGTCTCTTCCTCTCTCCAACAACAGGGAGACTCTGGGAGACCCTTGGTCTGTAATGAGCGAAGTGTCTTCAGCATCTCTCGTCTTTTGGAAAAGACTCCTGTGTCCAGCTGCACATGCCAGGCATCTACACCAACCTCTGCAAGTTCACTGGCTGGATACAGAAAACTATCCAGGATTCTGAGCCACTTTCCCAGACCCCCAAGTATCTGCTGTTGAAGTCACTGAAGAATCTTGAGTTCCCAGCCCCCTCCTCCCTCAACCCCAGGAGTCCAATCCTACCAATAATCTTTCTTGTGCACAGTGCCCCCTGGTGGCACAATGTTGTTGACCTACCCTTACCAGTAGTACAAAAAGTTGATCTTTCAACGTTTTTGTCCCTTTCCCCAAAGCCCAAAAATAAAGTCTAAAATAAGCGCTGACTCTGTTCGAACTGGACTCCTGATTTCCGTTCCCATTCAAAAATTCCAGAAAATAGGTTCTTCTCCTTGGGCCTCAGTGTCCACATCTGGGAAATGGGAGTCTGGACCACAGGGTCCCATAGGAAAGAGAAGAAATGGAGATTAGAAGAAATGGATTCTGTGGACGCTGCCCAATTCCTGAGAAGTCAGGTGAGCACATGACAAATGAATGGGATTTTCTCGATTCAGTTATTCAGTTTTAGTCGGCCTATTTCCATTTTGTCTTCTTAAATGCATTTTCAGAATGTTTCGTTAGGACCTGTCTCAGGACCTGACTGCTGTAGCTAAAGACAGGTAGGAAGAATTTTGGAGAGGGTTGCTCTGGGGGAAAAATGTTGAGACCCAGGGGCAGAGATGGGGGGACTGAGGACAGAGACTGAGGACAGAGTCTGGTGGGTGTTCTTTTGAGCCTCAGGATCCTCAAAAATCCTTTCTTTTACTAAACCACGAGTGGCCCAAAGAGCAAGCACTCCCAGATACTACTTTGCAGGCTGGTGAAAGGGCCCCCAGAAGGGGACAGACAGCCTGCCTTAGGAGGTAATGATGCTGGAATAAATGTGAATTTGGTCCCCAGTTGTTGTGGCTCAGTGGAGTGAGCACCAGCCTGCAAATCAAAGGGCCACCAGTTCAGTTCCCACTCAGGGCATATGCCTGGGTTTGAGGGCCAGGTCTCCAGTAGGGGGCGTGGGAGAGGCAACCACACATTGATGGTTCTCCCTGCCTTCCCCCTGTCTCTAAAAATAAATTAATTAGTTAATTAAATATTTTTTTAAGAAAAAGAAAACAGACTGTGGGGCTGATCCTGAGGTAAGAGGTCAGTCATGAACAGCCTGGAACCTATGCTCTGAGCTGAGACCCTCACAGAGGTTGGGGTCCTCCCTGGGCAGAGGAACCCCGGTTTCTAGAAGAAAAAGAGGAGGAAATCTAGGCTCTTGGTACTACCACCAGGCATAAAAATTAGCAAACACCAAAGAAGGAAAGCCAGCCTGCCTCAAAGTGAACAGAATAAACAACAGATTTAGGGCTTTGAAGGTGGTAGATGTTAGAACTGTGATAGTGAAAATATACAGCAGCTTATGCTGGAAATGTTTAAAGAAGTAGAGATTCAAATGATTCATTCTACTAAATGCATCAAGTTGGATTCCTTTGCATCTTAATTTAAATCACCCAAATGAGCCCTGGCTGGTGTGGCTCAGTGGGTTGAGCGCCAGCCTGCTCAAGAAATAAATAAGGTGTTATTTATTTATTTTTAGAGAGAAGGGAAAGGAGGGAGAAAGAGAAAGAGAGAAACATCAATGTGTGGTTGTCTCACACATGCCCCATACTGGGGACCTGGCGGCCAATCCAGGCGTGTGCCCTGACTGGGAATCCAACTGTTGACCTTACAGTTCACAGGCTGGCACTGAATCCGCTGAGCCACACAAGCCAGAGCTGACCAGTAAGGTGTTGGCCAAAGGACCAGGGAGGATGGTGGGATCATTTAGTTGAGGAGAAGAAATATAAATATTATTTATTTGTTTGATTGATTTATTTATTGACTTTTATATATATATTTAAATAGACTTTATTTATTTTAAGAGAGAGGGGAAAGGAGAGAGGGAGAGAAATGTGAATGTGTGGTTGCCCCTCATGCGCCCCCTACTGGGGACCTGGCCTGCAACCCAGGCATGTGCCCTGATTGGGAGTCAAACTGACGACTCTTTGCTTCACAGTCCGGCGCTCAATCCACTGAGCCACACCAGCCAGGGCTATTTAAATTTTTAAAGATTGCATTTATTTCTTTTTAGCTAGGGGAAAGGAGGAAGAAAGAGAGAGAGAGAAACATCCATGTGTGGTTGCCTCTGGAGCTCCCCCTACTGGGGATGGGGCCCACAATCCAGGCATGTGCCCTGACTGGGAATCGAACCAGCGACCCTTTGGTTCACAGGCACATGCTCGATCCACTGAGCTACACCAGCTGGTGCTGGAGCCATTTTTCCATCTCATCTGCAGGATGGGTGTTGACAGCACCCACTAGGGACATCGTGTGGATTCCACCAGAATGTATTTATGAACTGCACAAAGCCGCCTCCGTCTATAAAAAAAGACACAACATCTATTATGCCTATGGCCCGAGCATTGTTCTAGCGCTTTCTGCACATTGCTTCATCCCAGGTCGGGTCGTGTGGGGAACGTTCTAGAGCCAGTACTTGAACCCACCTACTGGCTGAGTCCCAGTGTCCACTCTCAGCTGACCACCACTGCCTCTGTGCCCACACCAAGATCTTCAGCTGCTCCGTCCTGGTCACCCACTTCCCTGAATCTTCACCTGAGGCTGCTGAACTGGAGATGCCTGTGGAGTCAGCTGGGAGCTCTAGCTTGGTGACTAACTGCCCTTCCCTCCTTCCACTGGGGGTGAGGGGTGGGTCCCTATACAGTGACCAGGCTGGGTTCTGGAAAACTCCTTCCAATTCAGGCTCTGCTGCCACAAGTCCTAGGTTTTTAAGATGTAGATTAGTGTGTTTGTGTGTACGAAATTGCTCTCCCTGCTTTGGTGTGTGTGGTTAAAACTCAGCTATAAAATTGACATTTAAATGTACACAATTCAGTGGCATTTAGTCCATTTACAATGTCCCTGCTACTGTCTGAAACTTTGATGGCCCAGAAGATGACCCATCCCCAGTAGCTGTGACTCCCCACTCCCCCCTCCCAGCCCTGCCCCCCAGCCCCAAGCCCCCTGCACAGTCCCTGGCAGCCACCAATCTGCTCTCTGTCTCTCTAGGAGTCTGTGGAACGGAGGGAGAAACTTCTTGCACTTCAGTGACTCGGTGACCATCACTCAACACGTCATCTCTATACAGCACACCATCCTAGGCTGTCTGATTCACAGCACTGACACTTTCTTTGCATGATTTTTACAGCTCCGAAGATTGTAAGCAGCCGATAACCGTGCCAAACCACTTTTATCCGTAGACACGCAGATTCCGGCCCTTCCAACAGAGGTTCCATGGACGACCTTCCTCCCCAGAGGTAAAATCAATTTGCCTCCATATGCATAACACGTAACATCTGCCTGGATCCCACGTGAGCTCAATAAAAATTTTAATACCCATTCATTTAAAAGAAGGAGGAGGAGAAGGAAGAGAAGAAGGAGAAGAATAAGAGGAGGAAGAGGAAGAGGAAGAGGAAGAGGAAGAAGAAGGAGGAGGAGGAGAAGGAGGAGGAGAAGGAGAAGAACAGCCCTGGCTGGTGTTGCTCAGTGGATTGAGTGAAGGCCTACAAACCAAACTGCCACTGGTTTGATTCCCAGTCAGAGCACAGGGCTGGGTTGTGGGCCAGGTCCCCAGTAGGGGGCGCATGAGAGGCAACCACGTATTGATGTTTCTCCCTGCCTTCCCCCTCTGTCTAAAGATAAATAAATAAACTCTTCAAAAAATAACAAATGAATTTAAAAAAGAAGAAGAAAGAAAGTGTTTTGGTACAGTGGTGCAGAAGTTGACTGAACTGGGAAACATAAATGCCACAGAGATCAATGGGCCCCAGGGTGTTAGGGACCCAGCGGAGACACTTGGTCACCCAGACGTGCAGGACACGG